GGCTCTGAAGAAGGCGATACTGCCGAAACGTCAGCTAGCGTTGTATTGTGTTGTGTTTTTATGGAAGTAAATGTATGCTGTTTAAAAACCTCGCGATTGCTGAACAAGAAAACGACACATTCATATTCCAATGCCGAGGTTAAGAGAAAGTCGATCTTGGGAACTATAATTAGTTTACTTTCCAACAACTCAGTTCCTTAACACCATATGTAGAATGCGTCATAACCGCTGGCCTAAGAGTAAAGCAATACCAGGATCTACCACCGTCCTGGTATCAAAGTCGCATGGTGTTAAAAACTCCCTCCCACAAGAGCCGCGACTGCCTGTGGTGGTGAAGACCTGGGGCAGACTTTGGCCAGGCTGACCTCGGGACTCCAGAGGACCATAATGGCTTAGCCAGCAAGTCTCCGAAAAATGGAGATTATACTGGAATCCGCACAACCAGTGAGGACGGGCCATTCAAGTATCAAGTATCAAGTAGTATGTTCTCGACTCGCAGCTTGCTGCAAAGCTCTTGTTTTGTGTTTGTGTACCAACACCTGCACAACCACCAAAACACTTGTTACGAATGGCCTCCTCTGTTATAGAAACATCTGCCTCCAGGCGGTAGTCAGAAGTTGAGAACACGTGGTGATATCATTCCTTCTTCCTAACATATCCAGTTCATCTTTCTATAATAGGCAATCATAGTCTCACACCAACGGTGCACTAAAGTTACCGTTTAATCCTCACATAACTACCATTCATTCGCATTCCAGTTACCTTGCAAGTGTTATGGTTTGGACGAGGGTTTAATTACCTGAGTATGGGATCCACTCTAGGACAACCACAAAACCCCGTGAGCGTCCTGTGGCGATTCGCGAAAATTTCGACAATAAGTGTTGAACGAAGTAATGTAACTACAGAATCGTTTCATTCCGCATTCCATTGAACTAATACATGCGATACATTTGTCGTGTTAACCATCCTAACTATGCAACGCAACAGTGCTTTTAACTGCACTGACTAAAGCAGTCTGTCCTACATTTTTTCTTAAATGAAACACAAAATATCCGATATGACCCCAGTTCCTCATAGGAATGCGGAGCAGTGAATGAACAAAATATGGGTGATCTCGAGATGAAATTTAGACAATTGCATAACTTGAAACTGCTGTTCTCTCTAAGGGTCTTGTACTTGGTCGCGATTTTTTCATTCCTCCGCTTCACAAAGGAAGAAAAGCTCTGCCGTTCTGACTGACGATCCATATTACGAATTCAACCGATAAACGGTCGGGTGTTTAAAAGTCTCAAGGAATTAAAGTTCTTGAAATCGTAGGTCTTTTTTCAAGTATTAATTTCTACTAAAGAATTCGTTCAGCGTTGATCAATCCTTTAAGTGCAATGCATTGAACGAGTACAGGCCTAATGATGTATCAAATTATTCCTTTTTCGGTCAGCTTTGAATGGATAGGTGACTAGTTTGTCCAGGGGGCGAGATGGAACCAACGATCTTGTTGTATGGCCCCGTCCTTTTAATCACTACGTTACATGCGCCCAAGAGATTAAAAATAAAGGTAGTGCAAAATTAGTGGATATAGAATCCCTGAAATGTGTAGATTGCCCCATACCAAATAAATAAAAAGCTAAAAAAGTATTTTTTCAATAAAACGGAACTCTTACTATCAACACTATCGAAAGGATAGTAAAGAGCTATGATAACATTGACTAATACAGCGAATAGAAAGGCTAGACGACCCCACAGTCGCAGACGTTTAGTGCATGCCGAAAGATACGGTCGATCTGAAAACTATCAAGTTAGCATCTTTATGCTAAGCGGTTTTTTAACAAAACGAAAAGAAAAAGTTCTTAAAACGCAGCAAAAAGTCGACAACCTTGTAATTTTCGTTGCCATTTCATTTCTTGATAAAGCGCTGGCCAGTGGTCAAAAAACTCGGTCACTTTTGAGCCCTGCAAGATGTGCAGAATAAGACAAAAAGAAATGTGGATACAAAAAAGCCCGTTTAGTTCTTAACATATTCAGAAATATGTACTGAACTGAAATGGCAATTTGCATTTCTTCCGCCTGAAATGATTATTTAGGGTAAGAACTTTAACATTTCAAACGAGTTTAGCTAGATCCAAATCAAAATCCGGAATCGTTTGTCATACTGGCAAAATCCTACTCACAAATCGGCAGAGACCCTTTCCCTAGCAATTCACAAGCATCTGCTACTACCTAAGGAGTTCCTTAGCACAGTTAACGTCGAAACGCAAGGAAACATTGGGCAAGGAACTACACCTTTTACCGTTTTAAACATACAAACCTGTCTTTACATTAATGTGTAGCTGTATAGTATATACTTTTTTCCTGATTCTTGTTAGAAGGTACTGTATTGCCATCCTCATCTTTCACCCGTTTTCGTTTTTGCGATCCCCATTTATCTCTTCCTTCATATTTTCTAAACGCTGTTATACCCTCCGTATACTATCTCAGCTGCTTTGTGAATCAGCTTTCCTCAATTTCCGTCGTTCTCTCATTTCGTTCCATATTTTATCCACTTTAACAGAAGATAGTCATTTTTGCCTCACAGGAAGTAAAAGATATTAATTCTAGCTTTTTGATGGTAACAGCTATATGACCAATATTCGTTGTAGAATTGGAGTCAAAACCAGAAAAGCGGCACATTAACACCTTTTTACCATCAAAATTGTAGTTTCTCGGCTTCGCCTTGTTCTTTTACAAGTGATTTCACAAATATTTTCGGTTTCTCTTCCATTTAACTTTACAAATAAATCTAAGAAAATACCGAGCTGTTAAAAATAAGCAAAAATATAGGATAAAGGATAAAGAATAAAGCTCTCAGCGTTAATCAATCGCTGAGGGATGCGCTATGTATTCGACTTCATTAAGCATCGTTTGGAGGTGATTGAATGCATATCTTGCCTTTACTCATGGTGGCCCTCATGGACTCATGGTGGCCCGCCAATGTATCGAACCGGTGTTGCTATCCTACCAGGCAAGTTTGGTACCAATTTGCCTACCCCGGATGGATGGAGGGCCTGGTGGGCTTGAGATGTGTGGTCCAATGTGTATTGCAGGGGCCTCTAAACACTGTTGTACACGTGGTTCCTACAAAAAGTAAGGAATAAAGATTAAGCACAACATACAACGTGTTGAACATGAAGTTAGCTTGTATGGTTAATCAAAATGTAAGCTAAAAGACAGAAAGGAAAAGGCGCAGTCGGTAGGAATGAACCAAAGACTATGGGTATGTGTACTATGTTAGAATTTGGAATAAGGTTCGGAAATTTTTGGTATGGAAGTAATAAAACGAGAGATTGAATAAAAACAGAACTAATAAAAAAAAGTGGCTCTAGTTGCAACCAATAATAGAAATAATCATAATAATGTTGAGATATTTGCAAAACTCCGGACCACTGTGGTATCTGCGGCGAGGACCGAACACGCTATTACCCTTTCGGAGCGCTAACGCGTTCACCACCACACGATGTGAGTCCTTCGTTCCGCCTGTCTCTAAGCCTGTTATTATTGATCTGTAGGTGCTATCAGCTATCATCCATCAATGGAATTGATCTGGGGAGCACAAATCGGCAATGAACCTAGTTAAGCTGAAGCTGTGTTATAAATCACAATGTCGTCATCTCTTATTTAGTGCTTAATCCTTTTTTATGGTATAAATAGACATAGCATTAAATATTTATAAATAATTACAACAATTAATCAACTGTTGAGGAAATAAGAGCAGATATATGAGTAATGGGTACGTGTAGCGTAGTGGATAAATGTGTCGTGCAATATAAATGTGGTCATCAGTTGAATCCCGTGCGCTGGACCAGCTAATCCTCTCATACCGCAGCAGTTAGAAAAAGAGGTATTAAACTTGTCAGCCAGGACAAAAAAACTGACTAACATAGGCATATATGCGTCCATTACACTCTAAAACATTATGGATATTATGAATTGAGTCTAATGCGTGCGGATCCCATAAGGATTGATCAACTTCTAACGCTTCATCTTTTATGAGTAAAACGATGAAACAATAATGACAGCCAGGTGCCTGGCATACCTGATTGTCTCGCTCGGTGTTGTTATAAATATTCTGTTTTGTCTCTTTGGTGAGATAAGAGCAGATCTCGTGTATTGGGAACACAACTCTCTCCAGAGTTCGATCTTGGCGAACTATCTGAGCAACAAAAAAGAAAGCAATACACTTTAAAACTTACATAGGATTAATAAAGGAAAAGTATTAAACTACGTTAGCAAAAAAAACCCTGAAGAATGTGTGATTTTTGAAAGATAACTAAAAAGTGGGAGATTCGTATTAAGTTATGTTGCTTAACGATATCTATTACTCTCTTCATATACTAATAAATGAGCGCTTCCATTTACAGTTCCAAAATCCAAAAAGTAAAAGAGCAGCCGAGCGATTCTTTTTTCTTTTAATAGGTTGTGAATAGTAAAATGCTACTTACTATTTAAAAAGAGTTTTAAAAGGTAATTTTAAAAAAGAACAAACGGTATAAAGAACTCGATCACACTTCGATTTGAGCAGTGTGTTTTTTGTAAAAGTTCAGAGCGTTTCTCGTCTGTGGTGATTTGCTCGCGTCATCCGGATCTAGGCATCGAGCCAATTCTGGGCTATGTCCAGCCAGCTGATGAGCAAGAATGTATATGTTGTGACCGACCTGAATAGTGAAAGAGACTTTCACGCACATACACATTATCAACCTCCTCCTGAAATACAAAGGAATAAAAGCAGAGCCCGTTAAAATATATGTTCAATCCTAGTTGTGGTTGTAGCAAAGCAACAACGACCTTTTAGTGAGCGACATTAAGGGTCACTGGAATACAAAGAACAAGAAAAGAAGTTCAAAATATTACTGAAGAAGTAAACCAGCAGCACTAAGAAGATTGAAGATAACGTCTATGAGAAACTAACTGCTAAAATTAGCACTAAATGTTGACTTGAAAAACAGAGGGGTGGTGAGATAAATTATAATCAGTGTCATCGATATAGACATAGTATGAAAACGTTTATAAAAGACTTCATTTAGTTCTGGTGAGTGAAGAACGAAAAAAAGAACTACAAGCGATTCAAATTAAAAACCTCTTTGGGATTTACTGTTGATGCCTGCTCTGAGACATATTTCAGATTTAATTTAACGTCATCGTGGATAGAAACGGCACCCGACGAGTCAACAGATATTTCCGGCAAGGTCACTAAAAGTTGCAAGACTTAGTGATGTGAACCTCTTGTAACAAATTCCAGCACCTATCTCTTCCTATTAAAGAAGTGATCTAGTGCCACCGTACCGTATCTAGTATAGAGGAAATAAACAATACCGTATACTACGGCATCACATACATTCAGTCAATAACAACTAGTGCTAGCTAAACCATATTAAGACAACTTTCCTAGTATAAATCTTTATCGAGAACATTAACAACGCATTGTACCTCCATCAGCTTTCATTGATGGGCTTACAATACTGGTTGGCCCATTCTGAAGTTTGGATCGTTCCAAAAGATCACGTCGCATCACACTAATCTCATATTGCTTTGAGTGAGCCATTTCGTACGCTTGCGTAAGAGCATGTACCTAAATTTTTTGAATAATGAAATTTAATTGACTGAGAGAACAAATACGAGCTGAATGAACCTAGGTGACCTCTGAATAACTTCTTGCAAATCCTCTTCCCGAACTTCTAAGATTTTTAGTAACAGTCCATTGCGAAATACGTAATTTTCATCATTTCATTCCGTAATCAAATTTAAGGGCGTGTGTGGCGCAGTGGTTGGAGGCGTTACCGCGACACACAAATGGAATCGATCGCTGCGCCCATGACCCACCAAGTCTTCCATCACTCCGAGGTCGGCAAATTCGTATCAGACTTGTCTGAGAGGATAGCAGCACTGGCTCGATATGTCGTCAAGCCAACGGAAGTCATTGTAAAGGTCAGATATGCATTCACCTCCAACGATACTTAATGAAGTCGAATGCATGGCGCACCCTCATGGAATGATCAACACCGAGAGCTTTATTCCTTATCCTTTAAACAAATTTGATTGCTTTTATTTATTTGCAAAATTATTCTATTGTACAGATTTTTTTAAAAGGCTATATATCAACATGAATGCCGACATAAACAAACGTCAAGCAAATTTATTTATTCCGATCTACCGATCTAATAATTTACTATAAAACCTCTGTTTAGCACTGCTTATAGCAATATATATTATGCATTCGTTGTCCTTCAACCGCTCTCTGTCACAAGATGTGTAGTAGTGATGCTGGAGGTGAAGCTTCATTGTGAAGGAGCGAACTCGTTCGCTAATTCACTAACAGGATCCTTCAATTAGGCAATAACTGAAGGTTTCCTCCAGCAAGTTGAGTCGATGTTCGGCTTGTGACATGTTCCTCTGACGAGTCAATATCGCAGGATTCGGTGCTATCTGTCACTCTGGAAGAATCCGAGCACTGAGGCAGCAAACATCCCTTGAATCTATAAACATTGGTCAATGACCATGCAAAAGAGAAACCACCAGCGCGAAAATCTCGGGATTTCGTAGGAAATCGTGCTTGAACAACATTCTACAAGTCAGTGAGCAACCAAGACAGCAGATTCGGTTACAGCCGAACCCAGAGGAAAACCAGATCACCGCCGAAGGCGACGGTTGCGAAACGACGAAAAAATTTTTTCCCTCATTTTTGTGCTGTATTACAGCGTTTTTGTTTCCATGATTGTAGATGGAACTCACCAACTGACTTGGTCCGCCATCCGTATTGTCCATGTTCTGCAGTACACGTTCGGCATTCTCACTGTCATGCCTCGACTCCATAATCGCCAATAGAAGTTTCGATGCTTGGCTCTATAAAATTAACTAATGCCTTAAATATCGATACTTACTGCTCTGCTTTTTACCTATCACATGCTGATAAAAGCACAACTGATGTTAAACAATTTTATAGTAACGAAAGGTTATAGAAGTACCTTGAAATTAGTTTCCATAACGGTTTGTCGGGAAGCGGGTGAATTTCGAAGGTAATACACAAGCGATTGCAATGGTACAAACTTATTTAACAGTAAAAAATTTATAAGATAGCTAGAAGCGATCAATTCTTCTAGAAGAAGGCTTGCATTACTTACGTATACAACACTTTATAACATCATGTCATAGTGAATAACCTGCTAAAAATTATTCAAAGCAAAAAAAGACTGGCTTACCTTAATCTCTAATGCCAACTCCATATGATCATCAGCTAGTGGTTTGATATCGTTAAGCACCAATGAGATGATTATATTAAGCCCGTTCTCCTGCATGGCCATCGTGTTCTAGAATTTACTGGACATTCATTCAATGAATTAATGGCTTGTTGTTGTTGTTGCCAAAACAAAACATATTTTACTATTCCTTACCAAGAAGATTATCTAAAGGCTTGAATAGGTAACGTAAAGCAAGACTGAAGAACATGCACACTACCTGATTCTCATGACAAGGTCCCTGACAAAACTCGGTGAGGGTGGCGAGAGTCTGAGTAATAAGGCTGAAATTGTGCTCACCAACTTCGCCGAACACACCAAGGCTTCCTTTCGTTGATCCACACACCTAAAAACCAATGAGTAAATAGCCTATCAAATAATATCAATCTTGATCAACAAAACTTTATTTGTGAGAAAACGAAGAATAAGCAATAGGTAATAAAATTAAGGGCGTTGGTCGTCTCCATTCAGATAGGTGACCAGCCTCAACTACCATATGTGAAATCGTTGAAGAAAAATGTTAGATTTTCGTTATCTAGTTATGCTCATTTGTGACATATTTCCTATGCATTGTATGCTCCCAAAAATAGCAACTGATGATAGCAATAAAAGTTTAAAAAATGGCAAAATATATCCATAGAAAGAAGAAACGGCTTTGAGAAGGAAAAAGCAAGGAACATTTCAACATAGAGTGTCCATTCTTCAAAATATCACTGTACCGCTTACAGTATCGAGAAAACTAAGTGTGTCGGCGACCAAGTTGTGATTTGTGCGATCAGACTGCTTTCGTATGAAGTTCTGTAGAAGATTGTTGTGATTTTCACATAAGAGTTGCAACACTCGAAAGATTGGCTCCACAATTGCAACCTCAGCCGGAAGCGCATCGTTTATACTGAAAAAAAATGAAAATGGCGAAAAATAGACTAAAGTCCGCTGTTTTAGCAAAGTACTTCTTACTGAAATAGTTATAGACGAGATTAATAGAAATAAACTAGAATGAAGAAATCGTTCATAGAGTTGCAAAATATGCCATTCATTAAATATCCACAGCTTCAAAATGCAGGAAACCCCGATTTTTTTATTTACATTTGTGAGCCTTGCCAAAGATAAACTCAGAAATTTTACAGAAAAAGTGCTTCAGAACAATTTTCCATCTATTTTCTCGCTAAAAACTGTTGTACACTAAGCGACTCGACTATAAGTATTCACTCCCACCTCTCCCACTAACAATTTGAAAAGAACAACCATAAAGTAGCTGTCAAATCTCTACACCAAATTCGAGTTTGCTTAATAACTGAAGACAATATTAATCATAAAGTAGTTTGTAGTGCAGTAAAAACTAAACATTGTGACCATCTTCGCACGATAATGAAGTGGTTAATCTTTGACGATGACAAAACAGGTGACACCTTCGACCATCCCACAATGGCTGTCGCTCGAGTGACCACGTCCATTGCATTGTTAGGGCTCGGAATCTGCCCACTCGCGGGGTTGATCACGAACAGAACGTTTTTGATAGGGTTACCAAAGGTTAAAGCTTGAAAATTCCACTTCGTTGAACAACTCACTGCACTCAGTAAAACGCACCGATCTTCATCCTGATATGGGGAGAGATCGGGTAAACTGGACGTCGTCAATTCATGTGACTGTTGTGAGATTTCAGAAAGCGATGAATGTCGGACGTTAGTCGGATTAAATAACGGATTGACTGCATGGTCCAGTGATATCGGAGTTATCGCTGTTGATGCTAAAATTGAAATCGAGGTCACTATTTTTAAAGTTGTGCTTCATAGGCTAAGAAGCCGTCAGAAACCACTGGCTTAATGTAGTCTGAAGGGGGAAGGACAGAATGTGCTATTTTATCTCTAGCAGCTGGAAATGGAGGTCTGATATTTAATTTAGCGCTGTACCGAACCATGCATTCACGATGGCTTCGGAAACGTTTTCAGTGGTCCTTCTTTCTCAGAAGACTCGAAAATACCATTGATTTAGGAGATACGAAAATTAAAAAGTGCTGACAAATTACACCACAAAATGATTGGCCTCGAAGTCTTGTTGTCACTACAAATTGATCAAGCTATAAGGCCAATATAAATTACACCTACCATATCCAGCTGAGAGAAACAGAAAAAAGAACAGCATAAATAATAAAAAAGTCCGCATGCAAAGTCAAAAGTCGACACAGTTCTGGACAGAAACCTTAGAAAAGCCTTAGAAAAAAAGCAGAAACGAAGCATGGAAGCTAAGTCTGAATTCAGTGTTGCATTAACGGAACGTTTTGACAATGCTGAGACAGCTAGCTGTTGGCTAGAAACGATGATATATTGATCAGAATCTTTACAAACTCTGCTTGTGAAATTGAGGATCGCCATCGCCATGATTAGAATTCGACAACACACAGCAGAAACTCTCACGAGGTGTGCCTTTAATTATTTACACAATAATCTAACAAACTGAGGCAACAAAAAAACTACACACTATTCACCAAGAAGCATAACTTAAAAATGGTTTTACCAAGAAAAATACGAGAATATTATTACTAGGACAGAATCTTTATACCAGAACAAGGCTTCCTATAACTGACAGCGAGTTTGACATTCATTCACTCAACCGAGAAAGAAATAGTAAAGGTTTCACACAGTTGAAGCTTTAAGGAAATCATGACATGCGGTTTTTTTACATTAAGCTTTTTCGTAATGATATCAAACCAATCAACCTGACAGAGTAATGGCCGTCTAAAACTGGAAAGTCCGAAACCCTAACGTAATCGTAGCAAAAAGTTCTTTTTCCCAACAAGAGGTTCGTGGAAGAAAAAACACTGACACATACACACAGACACATCCTCACCCATATAAATATACTCACATCGTCTACTGGCGTTAGCTGAATACGCTGAAATGTGTGAATAATATGACAACGATTGTGTTTGCTTTTTATTAAGTGCTTACAATTATTTTACGCGGTAGGGTATGATGTGAAATACAACCGCTATGAGGTTGAGATATTTGCAAAACTTGGACCCAAGGCCAGATTCGAAGCCATGATTACCCTTTTCCGGGGCTCACAGACTACCTGCACCACGGAGAGTCTTACTTTACCTTTCTCTCAAATAGTTTCCTATCTAACAGTGATCAATAGTGGTAAGCATGTTACTAATATGCTCGGAGCTGGTAGGCTACAGATGTACCATCGGAATTCTTTGTTGAAAGCGAATTACAGTAATACTGATTGTGATAAAGTTAGTAATGTAGGGTAAACTCAATTTTGAGTACAAAACGTGACTATTATCAAACTCTGATCGATGAAAAGAGTCCATCAGTTACCTCCTCTCGGTTTGTTTTCATTGCATGACATCATATCGCTCTTTAGGCGATTTTGCGCTGTCAGAATACGCTGCGAAATTGCCTTGAAAAATAGCTCGTGTGCGTCTTTTTTCTTCAGACGAGTGTAGAACGATTGTTGCACCTAAAATACCATTGTCATCTCACATTTAATAGTTGAACGATATTATGTGTAAAATTGTATTTCCGTGATGAAATTTTAAAAGCTTTTGGTTTTTAATAAGGTGCCCTAGTGTGTCTGAAACCAAGACATCAGAAGGACAAAACATGTGGCTTGACAATAACCTGAACTTAAATAATTACTGTGATTATAATTACTATAATGTCAAATTTAACCTACTAAAGTTAAAAGGATAAAAAGGATAAAGCTCTCGGCGTTGACCAATGCATAAGGAATGTGTCATGCATTAGACTTCATTAAACTTAGAGCTGATTGATTGCATATCTGGACCATTCACTGACTCGCGGTGGTGCACTGATGTATCGAGGCAGTGCAGCTAACCTCCCAGATAAGTCTGGTACCAATTTGTCTACCCCGGAGAGATGTAGGGCTTGTTGCGGCAGGAGCACGATGATCGATCCCATCCGTGTGTTGTTGAGCGCCAACACGTCTATTAAAGTTGGTTGAACTAATTTTAATTCGAACGCAACTTCGTGGTGTGCAAAATATAAGTATCGATTGGGACCGATTCTCACTATGCTCATGGAATGCAGAGGCATACGGTTTTATTTTCTTTTACTATGCTAGTATAATTGGCGTAAGCAACTGACTGACTCGAACTCTACTAATATTTGGTGGCTTTCACCACTAGGAAGACATCAAGTTGTTACATTGTGATATAAGTCTAGAAAAGACAGCATAGTTCAATAATGTGAAAAGCATGCGTATTGATTACATCCGTTATCTTTAACGATATCAACTTCAACAAACTTTAGAAATTAAACAAAGACAAAGTCATATTTGTTAAGCTCCGTATCTACCTGAAATTAATTATGTCGAATTCATCACCCTCTCAACGGTGTACCGCCTCATCGTGGCTGGAAGTGTTCCTGGGTGCCGGACTGCGCTGTACAGCGGAGGGATTCGTACTCCCGGCAGGGTATCCCTAGCTGGGAAGGAATCTGGCGTTTCCAGCAGGAAGCCTAGCTAAGAATAAACCAATACCAGTAACCACCAGCGTCTTGGTATCAAAGTCGCATGGCGGTAAATCTCCCTCCCTCTAATCCACAAGGGATGCGACTACCTGTCATGGTGAAGACCTGGGGCAGACTTTGGCCAGGCTGTCCTCAGGATTCCAGGAAACCACGATTGCTTAACCAGCAAATCACCGAAAAATGGTGGTGCACAACTAGTGGTGACGGGCCGTTCAAGTATCAAATGAGTAAGAATTCATCATATTGCTGATTACATTTATAAGTAGAAAGATAAAGGACCGATTAACCTTGTCATTGCCTTCGAGAAGCAGAGCCTTAGCAAGTTGTATGGCTTTGAGGAATATCTCTCGACTCGGTTCGTTGGTGACGATGTCGATTACGAGATCGGACGCGCCGGCATCATTAAGGCGGCATTGAATCTCGTACAACGAGCGCTCGTCAATCCTTATTCCAAACTCCTTTTCCAAATGTTCAGTCGCTGCAATTATCATTTTACTGCCTGATTTACGAAATTATACATACCCTTATTGATAAATTTTGCTAGATCAGCATTATACTAGCTCTTGCCGATTAAATCCGTTTCACTAAAGTTATCAAAAGAAAATAAAGTGCATAACCTATGAAGTGTTGAACATTGTAAGCCTTGATAAGCATCTGAAACAAGTAAGCACACAAAACACATATCTTTTGTGGAAAGCGGATCAATACGCACACTTTGCACGTTATCGCAGTGAACCCCAACGAGATTCATACTCACATTGAGTTCCATCTCGCGAATCGCCAAGCATTTTCTGTCGTTGTAGATTTCCATGCGGTCCAAAGTACCGTTGTAGCAACTTGTAGCGAAGTCGCTGTCCCTTCAAAAGTGCATTATTTTTATCACTTTACTTCTTCCAAAAAAAAGCAACAGTTGAGAAGGCAGTCAACAAGCCACAGAAGAAAAAGACACCAGAAACGCAAGAGGAAAGGCCCTTAACACAGCGCTAACGCTCTATTAATAAATTTGCACAGCAGAAACAGTAAAAAAGCAAAGGAGCGAATAGAAAATGCTACTAAATTCATCACATACCAATCGATGGCTGCCTATCGAAAATCGACCTCTCTGGAATATGAAATCGACAGGTAGCCTCGTACTTTCTACACATTCCATTGTTATATTCAACTTGGCCAATATTGTCGAGGGGATAAGATCGATTTGACATAATTAAAGAAATTTAAAACAAACTCTCAGTCATAAAATTGGGTTAAACACTCTAGCCTTTAATTCAAATGTGACAGCGATTAGCTCATATAACAAAAAACCCCATGTAGAACCAGAAAAGATTTTTTTTCCTCACGATAGTACTAACATTTGACGAATATCCCAATGCTTAACTCTTTTTGAGCTTAACAGTAGCCAAAACCATCTTTTTGTTTTAGGACTGTCATCAGCTCGATATATTTGCTTATATGCTCTTACAAACTGCCCTTGTTGAACTGACGCGAAGTTTGAATACGTTGTCGTTGATGTTGTTACTGTTGTTCGATGAATGACGTTTCGGCGATTTCGTCTTCATCAGAGCTTGGACGTATTTAGTGTAACAATAACCTTATAATTTGGTGAAATGTCTATAGTATTAGTAAGAATCTAACGTATAAATGAACGCCAAATTGTTAAAAAAAAAAACTACTCACTGCGCCGTTGCGTATGGGACCACCTACGCGCTTTTCGCGTGGGATGACTAGTGTGACCTTACCAGGTCAGAAAATCAATTTCAAATAGGGTGCCATATCAAGCGTGATAGTGAAGCATTCCTTTCACCGGTTCATCTTGGGACTTTTAAAATTTAGCCAAAACGCCTCAAGAGTACTGCGCGTTGAAGTTTTTGATTTCTGCGCTAGGATCCTGACAGTCACTTGAAAATTATCACCGTTGTGTTTTGTGCCCTATGTGTAGCTAGAAGATTCGGTAGAATCGCTTTGGCGATTTTTAACTTTCCCATCCAGATAATCTTCTATACGGACACTATGTGATCTATCCGTTTCCCTAATGTATTCCTCACTGCGTGGCTTACACCAGACTTTGTATATTCCTGTAATGATACTGAGAAATTTGCAAACTCCGGAACACAAGTGGAGCTTTGTCAATATCTCGGCATTATTATAGCTGTACTTCATATAATATCCTGCCGTGAAAATTGTTGTAAGCAGCAAATAAAAAGTTAGCACTGCGATTAAGTAAACTGTTTCTGAACTCATGCAATCCTTGTCTCTCCCGTGAGGACAGATCATACAGTTATCTGAGCAGCAAAAATCATCATAAAGACAACTACGAATTAATAGATGGCGTAGAGTATTAGATGGGAGATGAATGATGCCACAGAATTTTCAACACCACTTTTTGTTGAGCACCTCTTAATGTCGTAATTTATTTCGTTTTGATATGAGAGATAGCCTGGAAGAGGCCTTGCTTGCGCTTAGAAGTAACAACGCTAAGTTTTGGTCTAACCAGAGTGGTTTCTGCTTCGTAGTCATAGAAAATGGCTGACTACCTTTCGTGCAACCATTAACATTGATTCCTTCCTTTCATCTTCTCCTATGCACACATTTTTAGCCGTTCGGTGTGCACAAGTATGTTTTTATTAGTTGGTTTTCGATACCATAGCTACTCTCTGAAAGCTTTATTTGCATATTTGGGAATGTAAGTCAGTTCTCGGTTGGGTTTCCTCGTGTGATTTTCATATACTCCGACCGTCTATTTAACAGTTCAAAGCACTCATCCCACTCATGTTCTTCCACAACACTCATGTTCTTTATGGAACAGAAGATGTAGCAGTCGTCTATGTATCGACAGTAGAGTACGGATGGGCGATCAAGTACATGAACTTCCACCTTAGACGTAAAAACCTTGGCAAGGTTTGGTGCTAATCAGTATGTAATGGAGCTTAGCCCAAACAGTAACCATGTAATACAGTCGTTAATTGTTCTCAATGTTAATTCACTTTATAATCATGTGTCGAATGACTCCGCAATACAAACCATTCTCGAGCTATCGTAGAAAACGAAAATAAAATGAATATGTACGGCTTGTCAATTCAAGAACTAATGACTTTCCTAAAACACGTCTCACTTGTTAAATATGTAGGTGATTGGGAAAGCACTTTGCACAAATTAGAGGGTTGGCCATGGGACAACGATTAGCGCCAAGCCTTGCCATCGTTTTTATATATAAGCTGGAAGCTACAGTTCTCGATCGACTTCTTTTACTGTTAATACATGAACGACTGCTTCATCGTCTGTTCCACACAAAAACAGATGGATGAGTGCTTTTAATTGTTAAACAGGCAGTCAGACTTTACAATATTCATGCGGAGAAACTAACAGAGAACTGGCTTTCATTCTTAAACACCCAAATAAAGCTTTTAAAAAGTGGCTTCATAACAAAATGGTATCGAAAACCAAGTAGCAAAAATATACCTATATACAAACTAGTGCACTACCTATCCTATCATTCCTTATAAATGAAAAAAGCGCTAATCAAAAACATGTACTGTACGGCTAAAAATATGCCCACAAGAGAAGAAAAAGGAAAGCATCGATAAACTTGACATGAAAGGTAACCATTTCCAATGGTTACGAAGCAGAAGCCACCTGGGTCAGAGCAAAAGGTAGGACTGTTCCCCAAAATAATAATATTTCAAACCTAAGCAAGATCTCTTTCAAGCTACCTTTCATTTCAAACGAAATAAGTTACGCCATTAAGAGGCGCATAAAAAAGGGGTCTTGAAAATTATGTGGTGTTTATTGACTTCCCACACAATACCTAACTATTTCTCAACAGGATCGTTTGTGCGGCTCAGAAAAGTTTGTAAACTATCCCAACGGGGAGACGGTGATTGCATGAGTTCAGGTTCAACATATTTGATCTCATGTAAACCATGCGGTGAGGAATACACTGAAGAAATGGGCGTCCGCTAGAAGAACATCTAGATGCAAGGGCTAAAATTCGAAAAAGTACTCCACTGGGTATACATAGGACGCAAAAGCACAATGACGATGACCTTGAAGTGACTTTCCGAATCCTAGCGTAGGCGTCAAAACATCAACACGCAAGACCCTTGCGCGTTTTGGATAAATTTCAAAGGTCTAAAGATAAACCGGAAAGACAAATGCCTCACTATCACACATGATATGGTACCTTATTTCCTATTGATTTTCTGACCTGTTGAGGTCGCACTCGTCATTCCACGTGATAAACACGCGGGTGGTCCCACACGAATCAGCGCGGTGAGTAGTTTTGTAAACAAAATAGGGTTCATTTATATGCTAAATATTTATTAATACTAAGGATATTCCACCGAATTATGAGGCTATTTTTTTACACAAAATATGTTAATGCTAATGAGAAAGCCAAAATCGCCGTCAGCCGTAGAACAACAGCAACAACAATAACGCCGACAATTTATGCCAACCTCCTATCAGATCAACAAAGGCAGTTCGTAAGAAAATATAGGTAGATAGATATATCCACTATGACACTATATCTCGAAAACTCTTGGCCCAACTAAAGCCACAGCTGGCCTACATAGGAAACTCTTCACAGTGAAATATCCTCCACTTGAAAGCTTATATGTACCCGATATTACTACACAGATTCTGTCGCAGATAATGGTTAGACGCACCGCAAGGACCGCCCGCCCACTCGCTATTGGTCGAACATCGCTTGGGTGACCAATTGTACGACAATGGGCGTTGCCATTGGGACGGCAACTTGAGCACGATTTGAAATTGTTCCAGAAGGAAAAACAGTTATTAACAAAAATCGGGACTGTAAGATCGTGCAGAATGTGCAAATTAGAATTGCATAGGGGGATTCCGACAGATATGAAAACCATGCAACACCGTATTTCGCAAGCATAAGTAAAAATTATAAAATGCGAACACAGTTCTTCATAATTGGCAAAGAGAAAGACACTGCAATCCATGAATGTTCCATAGCGTTAGGTGTAATGCTTGAAAAGTAAAATTATAAAAGAAATTACGTTAAATAACATCGTCAAATCATCTTCAACAAGATGCTCAAACTGGCGCGATAACTGAAGTAACAAAATTAACGGATTTTATAAACAGTCATTGATAAATACTGAAGCCAATCTTAGCCTTTGTTTACTAGCTGTTCCATTTTTATGCCAGAGTGTAACTCAAGAAACAGCCACAAGGATGCCGAGATATGAGCAGAAGACGTAAGTTCTGTTGGATTCGAACTCGCGATTTTCCATACCGTGGGTTCACCAACCACACCAACTAATGAGATTAGCTTCGATTAAAATTCGAGAGAAAAAAAGGAAATAGTTACAAGCGTTAATTAATCCGATCACATAATGAAACAGATTAGTTTCCTAGCTTAGACGAAAAGTGTAAACCATTTTCTTATGAACAACCATTTGAACACTTTGTCATTACGCTAAAAACATATCAATTTTAAGAGAAACACTTACAAATTTCGAAGAAACTGATCGTCCTTTAAATTTTCGACGGTAGAGTTCGTGCACCGATGCCACGGATCTCCCTCATATGAGTGATCTCGAGCCGGTCAGTCGCGAGACTACGTGACGCGTCCCCAGGTGGCCGATAGGGGGTTAATCGCTGACCAAAAGCAACCTTTGCTTCCCTGAGACACAGGTGGATCCAGGGAATGGACTCCTGTTTCTGCTGTGCTGATTTGGCACATACTTTCTGTATTTCCTAGGCGTATTCATGCATGCGTGCGTAGGTGCATTCTTGCTTATGCGGATTGTATTCTACGAGTCAATTCGGCCAAGAGCCTGCAATCAAGTGACTGCGAAGCATATGGGAGGTGATTAGGAGTCGCCCCCAACAAATAAGCTCTGTGTCCACTCTGGGAGAGACTGGCAAGCGACCCATGAGTATACCCAGCCCTCATGTTCAGATCCCAGCAAGCTATACATGGGTATCAAAAATGCTAAACAGTGAAAAAAAACCGGGCCTCATTCCCCTAACCTCGAATGAGCTTCCAATTCGACAGCGTTGCGTAAGACAAGTACGGCAAGGCTGCTAAAATCTCAGGGCCGATGGAAGCTATCTGGATTTCAAAGAACTATGGTGATGATCTGTACCTACAACGCACGTACACTTGCATCCGAGTCCTCGATAGAAGATTTGATAATGCAAGCAAGAAGAATAAGGCACGATGTCATCGGCCACGCGGAGACGAGAAGGTGCCAGCCTTTCAACACCGTCTATGACACCGGAGAAGAATTGTTTCTTGGAGCATACGACAGTAGACGAGTCGGCAGCTTCGGCGTTCTCGTCAACACGAGTTTGTCCATGAATATCGTTTCATTCGAACAGTTTACAACCCGAATCGGACGTTTGCGACAAGATGTAGATCGATACCGGCTTTGACAATCTTCGTCGTTTACGCGCCGAAATCAAACTATGACGAAGAAGAAGTCGAAGCGTTCTATATGGACTTGGAGAAGCTCTGCAGAGAAGGCCATACATTCTTCAAGGTCATCATTGGATATTTCAACGCCAAGATTGGACCAAGAAGAACGTATGAAGAACGTCACATTGAGACCCGCGGATTAGAATGGAACGAACAGGGTGAGCGGCTACCTGAGTTTATCATGGTGAGCAAGACGATCCATGGTAATTCGCAGTTCCAGAAGCCCCACCCTCAGCGTTGGACGTGGGAGTCTCCCAATGGAGAGTACCATAACGAAATAGACCACATCACAGTAAATAGGTTTTTCCTAACCAATGTCGCTGTTGTACCAAAATTCTACACGGGATCCGAGCATCGTCTCCTTCTTTCAAGATTCTATTTCTCGCGCGAAAGAGAAAAAGCCGCTAAACTCCAAAACCGAAGCCCCATAACCACCGTGAATTGGGATTTATTCATTAGTCAGCTGTTGGGAAGATGAAGCTGTCGATAACATCGACGAAGAATACGATCGGCTCATTCAACATCTTCACGCTAGCGCTATGAAAGCTCATGGTTCGAAAGTCACCAAGAGACGTCTGTCTCCAGAAACACGCTGATACGCCAGCGTGGAATCGCACGAGCCGCACACAACGGCGAACTAACGTCCGAACTTGCAAAACAATGCAGTGAGGCGATAAAAGAAGATCTTAGAGAGAGAAGAGCAGCAGTAATGACCGAAGCTGCAGAGGCTGGAAAAAGCATTAACAAAGCACACCGAAGCTTCACCAAATACAAGACCAAAATGATTGCTCTCCCGCGCCCAGGCGGAACAGCTACAGCGTCCAGAAAGGCAATGGAGAAAATCATTCACGAATACTACTCAGATCTCTTTGATAGCCACGTCCACCTTTCGTCATATAAAATAAAGGAGGTTGGAATGTCGTACCACCGGTTCTCCCTTCCGAAATCCGACATGCCATTTCGCCGGTGAAATATCGAACAGCACCAGGTCCGCTCAGAATAAGACCAGAACACCTGAAGAACCTTTCGCCAGTCCTAGTAAACACACTCGCTCGGTTCCTCACATGTTACCTGTCTGAATGCAAGGTCCCTACACAGTGGAAGACCAGCAAGAGCGTGTTATTGTTCAAGAAGAGTGGCCTACACAATATTGGCAACTATCGCCCAATCTGCTTGCTGTCAGTCGTCTACAAACTTTTCACTCGAGTCGTCCTAAACAGGATTGACAGAACACTAGATAAAGGACAGCCATGTGAGCAAGCAGGGTTTCGAAGAGGATTTAGTACGATGGACCACATCCACACGGTAACACGGCTCATTGAAGTATCGCGAGGGTACAAAAGACCGCTGTGTCTCACTTTCATCGATTTGTAGAAGCCCTTTGATTCAAGTGAGATAAAAGCAGTCATGGAAGCCCTTGATAGTCAAGGAGTCTCTACTCAGTACATGAAGATTCTTCGTGAGCTGTGCAAAAATTTCACAACCAAGATGTCACCATTCTACGACGTTATTAACATTGACGTCAAAAGAGGAATTAGGCAAGGCGATACCATCTCGCCAAAATTATTTACCGCCACCCTACAGAACGCCATGCGAACATTGGAATGGGATAATATAGGGGTAAAAATCAATGAACGGCAGTTACACCATCTTCGCTTTACTGATGACATCGTCCTTATAACACCAAACAGCCAAGCGGAGCCTATGCTTGACGACTTTGGCAAAGCCTGTGGAAAGATTGGTCTTCGCCTAAATCTCATAAAAACGATGTTCATAAAGAACGGATTGGTTTCGTATGTCCTATTCTCGCTCAACTCAACGGAACGAATATCTCCGAATGCTCTAGTTATATCTATCTAGGTCGAGAAATCAATATGATGAACGACCTAGCTCCAGGGCTGAGCAGAAGAAAGCGAGCGGCTTGGGGAGCTTTCAAGAGCCAACGAGGATGTAGTGAAAGAAAACACCCGGCTTCGTGCCCACCTTTTCGACTCAACGGTACTTCCTGTCCTAACGTATGCGTCAGAAACCTGGTCGCTGCGTAAGCAGAATGAAAGGTCACTGAGCGTTGTCAAACGCTTAGTGACTGGATTCTTTGGAATGTCAAGCGAACTGCAGGAATACCACCGATCCCATGGTCAGAGTTTTTCACAAAGAGCCTTGAAGAAAGATATGATGCTCGACGAGTCCCTAGAAAGAGCAAAACCCACTGGACTGCTCTTGCACGCGACAAGGGAAAATGGAAGATTTACTGGCGCCCGCTCGAGTCACTCGGCGGTTAACGGGACTACAGGTACAGCTACAGGTACAGAGTTCATGTAGAGGCAAACTTCATTCGGGGTACAGACTACTTTTCTAAGTAAATCACTATCGAAGAAATTCCAAGCTCCAAAAAAATTATATTCCTCAATGTTTCCTGAGAGCAAATCAACAACTGTGCAAAAAATCCGATTCTCGGAGTACGCTAGATAAAATTAAGAGGCCGTTAACTTTGCAGTCAACCACGTTAAGTTTTAAGCTTAAGAATTCTGCACAAGTAACTCGATCAATGCTGATATACTTATACTGATAAAGCAAAGAATTCAGTAAAATTAGTTAAAAATTCAGATGAAGGCGACCTCCACTTCCCACTTTTACATTCACTGCTGTGGAATTGGTAATGACGTGAAGTTCTTGAAGAAAGTAAAGAAAAAAAGCAGTAAATAGAAACTGGGTGAAGGAAGGAGCAAACCGAAACGCAGGTGTTGGAAATGGTTTCTATGCGAATTTTTACCCTCCATCTACACAATCGAATATTTGTGGTACCAATTAGCGTATCATTTTTGTGTATGGTGATTTCCCATCGATCGTGTGAGTAACAGGTTAACAACAGCAAAACAGGAGAAAAGCCAGTGCTGAAATAAAATAGCCGCTAGCCGACAAGGGCGTGTGGTCTTGAGGAGAGACAAAATCTTCTTGCCCAAGGGGTTCAGGAATTGCACGAAAATTGTTCACACATAGAAAAGATTTGTGAAGATGAGATGAAGCAGTGAAAAATTACCGCATCGTTACCTGTTCGCACAGAGTTTGTTTTGTGCAGCTACACATACGACAAAGTGTTTGTAGCACACGACTACAGAGACTGTCTTGTTTGTTCTGCATCAACGTCTTGCAATGCTGGATAAGCCTTAATAGAAACATTACGCTGCATGAGAACAAGAATCCAGAAAAATCATTTAACAACTGAAAATAAAAGAAATGAGATAGAAGACCGTTCGACTATCTAGAGTCGCACTAAGATGAAGTTGGAAAACGAATAACAATCTGTTTCACTACATGTTTGCTAAGCTTGAAATTAGTCGAGACCAGGAAAAGAAAGGAAAAGAAAATGAAAAACAAGGAGCCATTTGGGATAGCGAAAAAAGAGTTGAAGGAAAAATAAGAATACTAGGCATAAAAAACATGACCATGCTCTGAAAAGGGTAAACTGCACAGCGGCAATTACGATGAAAAAATAAATTGAGAAAATGGTTAAACGATTTTAATAAGCTCCAAAGTGCTTACACCAAAGAACAAAAAAGCGGGCACCATTTTAAAAACTGTTCTGCAATTCCCGGGCTTTTTCCAGGAGAAAAAAACAAAACAAAATAATGAGTGACGATAGAATTCACTTGGTGACAACTGCGCCCTTGGCGCATTTTTCGCGAAGCCGCGATCCGACCGGAAATAGGAGATCGGGTGAGTGCAGAACGTCGACCAACACACTGGCTTCAGCCGAATGCAATGGCATCAAATAGAATTTAAACTCGCCAATCATCATCTGAACATTTTTCAGTCACTGGCCGATCTATGAGGCCAAATGGAGCACTTCTGTATGACAACACCAGCCTGCGCTCATATCGCACAACCGATAGTGTAAAAGAATAAAATATGAAACTCTACACCATTAAAAATATCTTTAAAAAATCTTTAGATCTGCGAGCATTCGAATTTTGCCATGGCAGTGAGTAAACAGTGCACATCATTGTCCGAAATGTAAAAATTTTTGCCATTCTCACTGGGACTACACTTTATTTTAGCTTAGTTTGAAACTTGGAAATTGAAAAACCTAAAAATCGATATTGATTTTCAGCCATATTGTAGGAAACTGAAGGACCTGATTATAAGAAAAGAATGAATAGAAAAAAAAACAGAAAAAGATCTCACGTGATAGCAAGTGACGACATGCGCTACCTTATCAGATATTCGACGTTGATTAGGATAACCGGGCATCACCAAGGAGTTCGCACGATTCCGCATGTTTAGCGTTTGCTGAGTCATTCACGCTTGATTTTCAAAATATTAGAATGTATTTAAACTAAAAAAGCCGACCAAATATAGTGGCAAAGATTACTGAAGTAACAAAAGATTACTTAATAGGGCGATGAAATATACGAGATAAAGAGTAAAACATGGAGTGAACCTTTGTGGTAATGTTCACGGATATCGCAGTAACTACGATCACTGGTAATTGCTAATGTTCAACGTACCCTACGGTAAAGCATTGAAACTATATAAAGCTAGATTTTGAAATGCTAATATTCTGATCACCTGTCCGATGAACCGGGCGGAATTAGCCGCGCACTGCCAACGTTGCTTCACAGTCGGTGCCGAGGTGAATGGCGGCAGTGCTATGCTCGCTGGTAAAGCGATTTTGTTCTCTTCCGCTTAACATTTTCAAAAGTTTTAATAGCAAAAAAATTTGCGGAAATGATGAAAATTTCGATATAGAACCATAATTCTTAGAGTGACGACGACACAATCCATCTCTGCAAGTGAAGGACACTGAGCTGGTTAATTGAAGGGTTACATAGGACGTTCCCAGCCTTCGGATAGGATAAAAATAGTCTAACGACTAGTATTTACCTACCCTGAGATATAGATAGATTTAAAAGATGGGCCCCTTTTCATACGAAGAAACTCTGATGTTCTACACACCATGAGCACACAAATCCCTGAAGTGTAGAGTCCAGTGGGCTACAAGTGGTTATTTTTGCGCGAAAACCACTGAAAATCGAGTGGAAAAGGGTGATGTTCCTTGTATTCTCCAACCTGTTATACTTGAATTAGTGATCAACGTAAAAACCACTGATAGAGGTGATATTGTGCATCACTATTCTTAAACATCTTCAGTTCCTCATCCGGGTTTTTTCAAGACAAGTTTTCACTGAAACAACATTCTAGGTTGCAAACCTACCCCATCTTCTTAGTCGCTTTATGCATTGATCGACTCGATACCAGTGCTTCGGTGATTGAGAGCGCTTTAGACTGCCTGCATGAAGCATGCACAAATGCTGTAGGAGAGCGGTGAACATCTTCTTGTGCGCCTGGAATTTGTACAACTATGAGATCCGAGGAAGTTGAGTTGAGCCAGGAATGAGTAGATATTGATTAGATATTCCGAAGTTGAGAAAAGTCGGTTTTTTTAATATTGTTACGTTATGTGCCAACTGATAATGATACCGACTGCATCAGGCTGGATTGTTCGGAGAAAAACAAACGATTATCAACGCATAATGAGTACCAACAACAACAACCGTTATGGACGAAAGAGGACTACCGAACAAGGTCCTTCATCGGAGAGATGCTCCACTGGGTTCGGCTTGATGTGTCCACGAGGATTTACATCGTAGGGATGAAGAACAATGGACAGTCGACCCAGAACAGTCCAGCTCTGAGGAAGGTAATGGCGCCGAAACGTTGGCCGAATAAAGGCACTCATCAAATTAGTGCCAGCTCATGAGTAAAAGGGTGCATGTTCTCCAAGGTTTCTTCGAAAATAATAAATAATGACATCTTATTGAATAATCCTGAATTGGCACCTATGGAGTAGATGGAGATCATACATTAGTAATGCACAACAAAATGCATTTCGTTTTACTAAGTTAGCAAAAAAAAGCACAAAAATGCCGAGGATGCGTCGACAATGTTGCAGTAACCAGACGTGATTCAGAAGAAAATGGAATGAAACCGAATCTCAGATGCTAAAGGACGAAGAACGTAGAAGTGGCGAAAAGTAAATCGAAGTGTGAGAAAATGTTAACAACTGCCTTTTACTCCAACTATAACAAATGAATCAATAGCTTTAGAAAAAAAAACTTACGGCTTAAAATGCCCAAGAACCTCAACTAATCAGCATGAATTCTGGGCAGGAATCCAGAAAACACAACGATTCCTGTTTATCTTTATTTATCAGCATCACACAGTAGTTCGATTATTGAAATCAGCTTGGCCAACATCTAATTAACACTCGCCCCAATTTCAGCTACGTGTTCACCAATGTCGATCGTTCAAGCATGTGAAAGGAATGGTATATCACTTACGTGGATGTCGACTTTGGCTTGTTCGCTGTAAGGCTTCTCGAAGAATCTCAATAGAATCTCGGTTACGGTCGAGCAGACATACTGTTCTAGCAGACCACAACTATTTGGCGATGCTGCCAGACCTTTTTCCAACTGAAATGCACTACTATAAACACTTACTTCCTTAAGAATTGTCATTCATCACTAACACTATTTACTTTTGTTAGCGCACAGGTTTTTCTTTCCCATATTCGTTACATATCTATAGCACTTCTAGTCTAACTCATTGTAGTACAAGCAGAAATCATTAACTCAAGGAAACTAGTGCAAGCGAAGAATGACCCTCAAATTCAAAGAAAATTGGTTGCCTTTTCTCTTAAACTTATCATATTTGAATGTGATTAACTTTAAAAAACTCATTCCAAGCGTTTTCCATCAGTTTCACATTAGGTTTTTCTAATGATTAAAGAGGGCGCAGTGGTCGGAGGCGCCCTGCAGCACACAAATGGAATCGATCCCCTCTCCAATGGCGCACCAAACATTCGATACCTCCAGGGTCGGCATATTGGTACTAGACTTGTGTGGGAGGATAGTAGCACCGGCTCGACACATCGGTTGGCCACTGTGAGTCATTGTAAAGGCCAGGTAAAGTCATTGCAAAAATCACCTCCAAACGATGCTTAATGAAGTCGAATGCATAGCGCATCCCACAGGGATTGATCAACGCCGAGAACTTTGTCCTTTAATCGTTTTAATGTTATAAGTGTCAGAAGAACTGTCGTTGGATCGGCTTCATCTAATTAACATAGTTCACGCGATCGACTTTCTACTCACCTCGACAATGATCAAATAATTCTTTATACTCTTTATGAGCAAACACGAGGTGTTATTCTAGTCTTTATTTCTACAAAGCTGACGTTTCGGTGGCTTTCGCCTTCCTCAGAGCATGGAAAGGTCAAGTTGACCGCAATCTATCTTAACAAAAACCTCCATAATCAAACAGAAAGAACTTCGTTTAGTTTGAAGTGAGTAATTGAAAGTTTTTTCTTCCCGTTTCATCTCTCTGTGATATTCGCACAAGAAGTAGGTAAAGCTATAGTAAAAGTATTAGTAACATGAGGAAAATGCTTGTATTTACCTTCTGGACATCCAGCAGCATGTTATGTAACAATGAATCCACATATTCGGGTTTATAAGCGTCCTTCATCTCGGCATCTGTGTCGATGTAACAGTGAAGAAGAAATTGAAAATAGGCGGTCTTCACCTGAAATCATACACCTTTCGTAAACTCTGTATACTTTATCTCTCTTTTCTCTCAAACAACTTTAGTGATTCATCCTTCTCCCCTTTACTTTTGTTTTCTTTATACTATAGCTGCATCTCCAAAGTGTTCTCCTTTCATTGAAGAGCTTTCCAGACATTCGCTACTTTCTAAAGAATAACGAAGGAAATTAACGAAGAACGACTGGGACACAGTTTACCAAGTTTTTCCGATTTTTTTTCGAAATCCAGTTTATTGTGATTTTTCAACTAAACATGCTCACAAAAGAACATTTTCACAAAAATCATGAACAATATCTCCTACTTATTTCCGCACTCATTAGCTCTATCTATACGGAGAGAAAAGATTCATAAATCGCAAATACGATAGAGGTCCACAAAAGAATAAATGTGTGGCCTTGTAGAGTACCATCATTAGCTAACTGTCGATTTGAAACAACGCTTACTTCTACTAGACATGATTGTGACGTGACAACTCGTACTATGTGATCCATCGGAATCTCGGAAGCGCATTTCAGCTCTGTACTACCATTTTTACCACGAGTGCACATTGCAAGTAATCTGAGTTAGGAATGTTACTGTAGTGTATCTAGAAAGAAAATGGAAACACATTACCTAACTAATTCTATGTGATATTTGAGAGGATGTGTATTATCGAGATACGATGACGCTTCTTGCATCATTTGTTCGAGTTGTTCGAATGAGGCATTGTCAACATACAGAGCTCGAACTTCGTCTGATGCCGCACAAATCTTAATCACATACAGTAAATTTCGTTACTCGGATTTCTCTTCACTGCGAAATGCCATGAAGATGCCTATGATCTCATTTTCTTGCAAAAAACACTATTGAAGCAAAAAAGTACTGATATTCACGAATCGTGCTGAAAATACAGCATAGAGATACTTAACAGTGTTCTGAAGCTTCTAAAAAAAATCTTGCTCTTAATTCCGTACAATTCCTACCTCCGTGGCAACTTTATCCTGAGTGGTCTCGACTTCTTTGTCGTGGATACAAACGAGCGACTGAAGAAGTTCTAGGAATACCGCATTACGAGACTGGAACAAATCTTCATTATTCATTCAAGAAACATTGAAGCAAATTTCATGTCAGACTAAAGATCAATGCTATAAAGATGAAACTCTTTCTAGAAAGGCGAAGCGTATATTTTTTTAAAGTTCTTTCCAACTTTTAGTAGGGTAGTAATCCAAGGTACGTAGCAGTGGAGACATGAAGCGACTGGGAAACTAATGGCATCGATTGGAGAAGCCGAATTTACTGAGAGCTGTAAACATCGTGAAAAACAGTCACTAACCTTGTGTTCAATAAGACTGACGATGTGGGCGATAAGATCCTCGGAAACGTTTGCAGCCAGCTCGCGATTGTTTCGGAATATTGCAACCAATGTGGCAGCCTCTTCGACCTTATTCGATAGGAATTCAAAATGGCGTATTTCCACTACTTTTATTGCCAAAATTAAAATGTGAATAGAAGGTATTATGCATGCGACTAAATCCAAATTCGTTTGGTGATTGCTGGCGGCTAGTCCTAATTTTTCGTGACGCACCATGCGGGCCGCAAAATTCGTCAGATAAAGCTTTTTACATTTTCCAGGTATAGAAAGGAGTCTATAATGGGAAACGTCTGGCACAAAATCTATTGCAGAAGCGCTAACGAATGAATACAAAAAACCCAGAAACAAGCTGTTCGCGGCAAATTTAATAAAAGGAAAAAGCACACACTGAAATCAATGCATTCCGTCCACTTTGACTGCCTAATTAAGTGATATTAATTTAAAGGCAAATTTTTATGTGTTTGGAACGCGAAAAACTTAATGGAAACGTGAATAAAGGAAAAATGATTAATAAACACAAAGAAGACTACGGCATGAATGCAGACAATAAGCGAAAAATCCGACATACTGTTTCCACTCTGAGCGTTCCCTCTTTGGCGTCTTTTTCAATGGAGATGTATTTATGCAATCGACTTTGATTCTCCTTGTTCCCTTTGCAGAAACTTCGAAGAAATTCATGCGAAAGAGTGATAAGGCGTGGCATTTCGATGTCATTCTTCTGTAAATCGTATAGAGTACACGACTTTCTTCATTTTATATATTTTTGTCTGGTTTATAGTCTACTAGAATCCATTGGTAAAAGATTTGTAAACCTTGTCGTATGGAATACTTAGAAATTCCAGCACCACTTCATAGACCCGCATGTTCTTCAGAAGTTGTTGATTCATACTATCCGGTCGGTCTTTCTTGTAGCACAACTTTTTCAAGCGAACCAATATCTGTTTAGAAAACAAGCATTTTCTGCATAAAATAAAAAGGACAGAAATTTTTTTAAAATGTTGGGCAAAAATGGGATTTGGATGCTTAAATAAAACCTGTCTGATCAACGGATAGGCGATTAACGGTGTCCGATCGTTGAGTTCTTGCAGAGCGGCATTAGCCAGGGTACGATTTTCACTGATGAGTAGCTGCAAGTTCCAGTGAACATCAATTTTTAATTAGTTATGAATTCTTTTAACTCTGACAAGTGTTCTAAAATAATGCACTAATATGTAAAACGAAACAAACTGTGTTAGTTGAAGTTCTGACTGTGTGTGAAATTGTTCAAAAACTCTTCATGCAAACGCTATGTAACTTGTCGCTATCGATTGTTTTGTTGATTCACCCAATTTTCCTTAGTACGGATAGTTTAAAGGACTAGACCGTAAAAGAACAATGCTTGAAAAGGTTATCAAAGTTTATGACCAGTCTTTGAGCCAGTCGTTTTGCTAATACCAGTTTTAAAAACGCAAATATTGAAGCGTCCTATTTAAAAGGAGACTTGCAGTCCAATTAAAGAAATCTATCGTCTGTTGTGTTCATCTTTAACCGGAAATTTGTCCCAATATACAACGTGACAACAAGGTCTTTAAAAGAGTCGACGAGAGTTTGTTAAGGGGAGCGGCGTTTAGACAACTCGTCCATCATGGTCGCAAGCGACCGTAGTCGAGTTACTAATTCTCGACATTCCAAAAACCATGTAGTGAAAAGTTCTAATTAAATTGCAAACATCGCCTAAGGTTCGTGAAATCAAACCGCCTCGTAAAGTGCTAATTCGAAAGAAAAAAAAGAAATTTAACAGGCTTTTCAGTGGTGATGTATTAAACCGGATGCCTTCTTTTGCAATGGAATAAATGCCGTGCAAATACTCAGGGCAATGTGTCACATTTTTAGTACTAATTGAGGATCTAAGACAGTATAATTTTTATTATTATTTATAATATTTTACTATATTATTTTTTCATATTTACGTTATTTACTGTTTATATTAAAATTCATATTATTATTTATAACATTTATATATTTAATATTTTCGTCGCCAACTTCATTTCTTTAAGACGTTATTTCTTTATGCTTTTCACTTACCAAGGATATATTATTCTACATTTTGTCTTCTCATGGTGTTCAAGATCATTTATGACACTTGAATATACTTGAATTTGGAGCTGAGGACCTAAGTGAGAGCATCCACGCTAAATGCTGTGTATTTCTTCCAGGATTATTTTTCAGTTGTTTAAAAATATGAAACAGAAGCAAAGGCAGACATTCCCTTGGGTGTAAATCATAGAACTTTCTGTTCCTTTTATTTGCATGTTCAAAATAATCTGCAGTAACAAAAAACTAACCAGATTTTCTACGAGCAAGAATCGATACCTGATTAAGAAGACGTAGGCAGTCTTTACGAGAATTTGAGTAGTGTTCGTCAATGATGTCAATGATACTTCTCAGTATATCTTCCGATGTGAAAGCTTTCGACGTAAACAGTAAATGTTCCTCGAAATCCGTCTTCGTTCTAAAGCATCACTATAAATCCTTAGGATAACATCGCTTCACTAGTGATTCATATTGCAGCGTCCACCTCCAACGATACTTAAAGAAGTCGAATGCATGGCGGATCACTCAGGAATTGACCAACGCCGAGAGATTTATCATTCATCCTTTATTGCAGCGTTCGATCCGTTAATCAATTCACATCTTCATTACCACCTTTCATGTGAACGACTTATTTATCACAACCAACATCAATCGCGTGAAATCGCGTACCGCAGCAAAAAAAACCCTGCTGAGGTTTTACTTCACAAAACTTGGATGACACCGAATTCTCTTTCGATAGATCGCCAGTTAAATTGCGTGAGAAAAATGGATACAATAGGATTAAACTTCGAAATCAGCCAGAATACCAAAGTGTTAATGTAGGTTTTTTGTACTCACATCTTATCTTCCTTTTCATGATCTTTGCTATCGATTGAATGGTGACGTTCACCGTGAACCCACAACTCGGATTTCTCTGTGAGATTCTTAAGAATGAACAAGTCACGATCGATAAGCCGATAGTTCTCTACATCATCAGACGACACCAGCAGTTGAACCTGAAGCCAAGAAAAGAACGCGATATGTTTCTTGTAGATGAAAGCAAAAAAGCTGTGAGCTTATGAAGACATCAACCAGTTTTCTTTGGGATTCACCTCGCACAAACGATTTTTCTCATCTACACATCATCTCTCTTTCTTTCTCTTTAAGACTCCCATTATTATCTTCGAAATCACAGAGTTTGTCTTATTTGTCATTAATTCCTCGTCTCTCTCTAGAATATCTATTTTTCTTCCCTTCTCTTTTTTCTCCATTTTTCTCAAAACATCGAGAAAATGGATTCGTAGATTGCTAAATCATATGAGACCTTATGATTGTCGATTATGTTGATTCATTGCATTTTAAGACAGTCTGAGGCATATGACGTAATGAGCATAAAAAGACTACGTTTTGTGATAAAGGATACGACCTGTTTCAAATCCTCAAGAAGTTCTTGATATTGAGTGAAATGCCGGAACAAGACTTTTAAGGCGATACTGGTAAGTGGTGGATAATCGGACATGGTCATCTGAAAGTGGATTCGATCATGTATCGTTTGAGTCCTTTAGAAAAGAAAAACAAAATGACAAAAGAGTAGTTCTCCTGCGAAATTTTGCTCGACAAATCCATATTCACATTCACAAAAGTCTGCCAATACCTTGGAAACAAAACTATCTAAAAACCATTACACCATTCGGGATTCGTTTAGATTTCCGTTTATGTTAAGACGCCCTCTCGTCATTTCTGTGTTTCAAATCCAGTATAATACGGAGCTCGGCAATGATGGAGAACGTTTCTGATACTCTCGGTCGTCTTCAGGATCACATTTTAGATTAGACTACTGAAGAATAACTACAATGATGCTAAGATATTTGCAAAACTCCGGACCGCAGGTGTCTGCGGTGGGGAACGAACGCGCTGTTGTCCTTACCGGGAAGTAACGCGTTCACCACCACCCCATGCGACCCGTTGACGGGTGATTGCTGATGGCAGTGATAGATAAAACTAGCTGAGAGACAAGCGAAACGAAGGACCCGCGTGGTGTGGTGGTGAACGCGTTACTTCCCGGTAAGGACAACAGCGCGTTCGCTCCCCACCGCAGACACCTGCGGTCCGGAGTTTTGCAAATATCTCAGTATCATTGTGGTTGTTTCACAAATAATACCCTGTCGTGAAAACTTGTAAAAACCAGTAAATAAAAAGTGAACATACTGAAGAATACTTCTGATGGAACCAAGCTAGTCATGTCACCTCGCGGTAATGAACAATTAGCGGGCTAGATTTTAAACTCGGAAATTAGCCAAGAATACCTCCGTAAATGTGCTGAGTTACTAGTAAGTCAACGTGAAATTATCACTACCTTTATTTCCGTCATATACCCACGTCAAACCAGTGGAAATCTGCTTTACACATGTACTATACGAAAATGCAAAACACGAGAATGCGTATGACACTGTAACTAGAAGTCCATTGAAATATGCTTTGGTTCTCTGGTTCGATATGGCGCCGTGGCTCGACAAGACTCCATCCTACCCTGATCGGGCTACCAGACTTGTCTACCGGGGTAGGGTCATTTATATATGTTTGCTCGTTACGAAACTAGCGAATTATTGGTCAATACCGAGACTAAAAGAATGTTGGTCCTGGGAGTTATCTGATGTTTCAGTAGGTTACTGCAAGCCATTGCATAGGCCAGATAAGCACTCAATCGCCTATACAGACGATGAAATCGACTTGATGGCACATTCCTTAGAGAAAGAAACAAGCGAGGGAAGCTTTAATCATCCTATTCTTTAAACCAAAATTCAGTAGTGATACCTGCATAAGAATCGCCAACAGTAACTGTCCTTCACTGCAATCAAGATGAAGTTCATGACCACATTTGGACTGGTAGATGGTCTCGTAGAGTTCATGTGCCAACCACTCATTAATGTCTGAATGAGGATTTGTCGTAGGACGATCATAAATTATACATATGAATAGGCAGTACTTAAAATTATGTACTACACTAAATCATGTACTTGCTGTACGACTCAGAACACCGTTTTCATCACACGGAAAATTCTTCTTGAACCACGATAGTGCCATGGTGATACGGTAGTCACGACGTACGTCCATCACAAACTGAAACGGCATGCTTTCTTCAAAGCCCGGCTAATGTTTTAAGTCATTTACATGAACCTTATCGGCTTTTTTGCTTTATCTATCGTTTTAACACGTGTAGTGAAGTGGATAGAAGTTCTTCGGATTAACAGTAGTCATTAGTGCGGCCCCATGTCTCGGGTTAATCAACGCCACTCTCTACGAGGTTGGAAAATTAGTAGAAGACTTGTCTAATAAAATAAAAACATTGCGCATTGCGTTGGTAGAGCGGTAGCCGTCCAAGATAACACATCTGTTGAACATGCATTCAACCACTTCTACGACTCTACGAACGGAATCAATTGCATTGCGCATCTCTGAAGTACTGGTCAAAGCCAAACGTTAGGTACTTTGTATTTCATTTTTATCATAATGTGGTCTACGAGAATGTCAAAAACCATAAATTATGCAGAAGAAAAAACAGGCGGGTATTATAAAAGGGGAATGAGTGGTTTGGTGTTGATGCGTCATGTACTTACTTCATTCGTAGCATTCTAGAGGTGATTAAATGATTCTGCTGTCAATGATGTTGAGATATTTGCAATACTCCAGACCGCAGGTGTCTGCTGTGGGAAACGAACGTGCTATTGCTCTTTCCGGGTACTAATGCGTTCACCACCAGACCATGCGGGTCCATCGTTTTACTATTTTCATTTCTAGGTAATTCCTAGGAACAGACGATATGTCTCATTGTGTGTAATAGGGAGAAATCAGGAATATTTACTAATCATTTAAAATCGGATACTCGATTCGTAGTCACCACTGTATCTAACCTGGAGAATTTCAGCAACAGTAAGCTTCGTCTTCACCAATAATTGCCGGCTTTCTTTAGCTTGGCCACTGTCCTCAATGTTGCTCTTCTCAGAATTTCTCATAATCGGTCCATCACATAATTTCCTCGATCCGCTACCTATCATCGATTGTGTGACACGATGTATCATAGACATTCCCTGTGACACACTGTGAGCTGAAAAAACTTTTCTGTAATTGGTTAAGTGTCCCACTAGTACCGCCCCTTTCATAGAACTAACTCACCAGTTTGCGGGTTGTAAGGGCTGTTATCAACGATGTTCAGCAAATTCTCAGTGAGCGTAAGCAAGTTATCAAACATGTAGTAGCCGAACTGAGCCAGTGCTTTCGCCAGAGTTACCATCTTTAATTATTGAGATTTCAAGCATGTTAAAAAATGCTTGCACACGCTTTAATTTCGAATGGTGGAAATGACACATTGTGAAATTAATTCGTAAGAAAATAAGACACATTGATCATTGCGCAACTAAATTATTCCTCATCGTGCCGTTAGTCGATTCATCGAAAGAAGAAGCTTAGGTGCTCTTTTGTCTAATTTCAGGTTATGCCATATCTTATTCTATATATGTCTATTATAGCTCCTTATTGCTTCATTATTCTCCCATATTTCTACCACTGCATGAAAACAGTGAAAATTTTCTTAGGTAAAAATGTTGTTATAACTAAACAAAATAAATATTTAAAAGGGAATGAGCATAAATAAACAACAACCTACTTCATACGTCAGCTTATTGTTAGCAACACTTGCTGCATCATTTTTTAGTATAGGTTCTGAAGAACGACTGTGACGAAGCGAGTTCAGATAACTTTCTACCGTATTCAATACCTAGAAAAACACTGGAATAAGTTGGTATATGAAATATCAGGGGCAACCCTCAAAGTGTCTCAAAGCGATGCATTAACAGGAACAGCTGAAATACAACGATGGCAACTACTAGCAATTGTATAAGAAGAAACATTGGAACACTGCGTCGTACTACTTATTAAAAATTATCAAAACAAAACAACTTGCGAAAGAAAATAAAAGACATACATCAGTTGCGAACTGATCCCCGACGCGAGCACGGCCACCGTCGCTATAACCTTCTAACGACGTGATCTTGTAACTGAAGCTGATTTCTAGTATTTTACCGCACCTTAACCCAAAAAAGAAAATCGTTTTGCGAAAATTGACCCACGATTTTAATTTAACTTCGACAGGAATATCAGTCCATAGTCGAGCATGTCTAATAGCATTCAACGGACTTCCGCGAACGACGTGCAAATGCAACATGAGACGAGCGAACGACGCTCGTACTTCACACGGAAGTCGTGCATCAGACATGCATCTGAAGAAGATAATGCCATACTTTGAAAAAAAAAGAATAATTTGGTAGTTAAAAGCTTAGTTAAAAACTGACTTAAGAACCAATTCAGCCGGCAATTGGTGTGAGATGTTCAACAGCTTACGCTCAGGTGGTGGATCTATTGCTAGGTATTGCTGTTCTTGACACATCTGAGCCAACAAATCTAGCTGGTGCCTGTAACAGAGCGAACGCTTTAAGAACAAACAATATCAGATCATTCGTCAACAACATTACAATCGGCAACATGTTATTTGATATGCTTTCGTTCCATAATACTGATCCTACCATTTCATTGGGCCGTAGCAAAATTTTTAGATTTCTAACATTGAAACCATTTATACGCAATCTTTTACTAAGCACAAACACATTAAAAAATTCATTAAAAACTGTAAAATTTTTACGTGTGATACAACCACAATGGTGCTGAGATATTATGCAAAACTCTGTACAGCAGATCTCTGCGGCGGGTAACGAACGTGCTATTACCCTTTCCGTGGGTTAACGCGTTCACCACCACATCATAGCGATCCATCGTTTCGCCTGTCTCTCGGTTAGTTCTGTCGATCAGTGCCATCAGCAATCACTCGTCAAATCACCCGTAGAATTTTTACTGGATACCAATTTAAAGGGCGCGTATGGCGCAGTGGTGGAGGCGCCATTGCGACACACACGTGGAGTCGACCCTAGCGCCCATGGTTCACCAAGCTTTCCATCCCTCCGGGGCCGGCAATTTGGTATGGTATCAGACTTATCTGGGAGGATAGCAGCATTGGCTCGATACATCGGTAGGCCACCGCGAGTCATTGTAAAGGCCAAATATGCATTCAATCACCTCCAACGATACTTAATGAAGTTGAACACATGGCGCATCCCTCAGGGATTGATCAACGCCGAGAGCTTTAGCCTCTATATTTTCCATCAATTTAAAGAGTTGGTAGCCTGTATCTAATTGCAAAGGCGTTAACTACCTAAAAATCTCCGAGGAAAGTGCCTTGCATTCTACTCCACTCGAAGTCTTGTAGAAGTGATTGAATTGACTGTTGGCCTACACCGTGAATACCGATTGACTTCCAATAAATCTAGCCAGGGTTCTTTTTGGCCATCCAGAAACGTCTGATGCTAATTTATTGACCTCGGAGAAATGGAAGCTTTTGCTAGGCCTGGGTGCGGTATGAACCAACGACTTAGAATGCATTGCAGGGTATTTCTAGCCATACGGTACACGCACCTCTTGGAAACGGAAAAAATGATAAGTGTAAGCTCGTGAGAAGACTGTCAATAGTTGGAGACACTGAGCCACCACAACTAAATACCATTTTTTAAATGTCATCCTGTATTACGTCCAAAAATTCTTATACTGTTTTCGGTCGTCAAATACATGTTTTGAAATCAGCGGAACCTGTAAACTTTCATTCTATGAAGGAATTTTTAAAAGGGTCAAAATCGTCCTGTGCAATTTTGACGCGTTGGTAATTTTTCCAGGAAGATAAATTAAACAACACTTTTAAGCCTAGCCCCTTCTCAGGAGTTAAGTACTTCGTCACACTACGACTTGACTGGTGGCAGAAACTGTTGCCGTTCTAGAACCCCGGTCGTACAGCAACAGTCTTCCCTCCGACTCACATGAACCAGCGGCTATTACCTCTGCTAGAGACCACGGAAAGACTTATGTGGTTGACTTGCAGTTCCACATAAAACCATACTTTTCAATATTTAATAAGTTGTGAGCAAAGAACACAAAAAATTGTCAAGGTGCAACCAAACGCAGACCGGAAACCGATTACATTCTTGGATGACGGCTACAAGACGACGAAGTAGTGGTGCGCAAATTTTTCCCAGAAGAGCTTTTTGAACAAGCTAATTGTCGGAGGGAGAATAGCACAGTGGTATTGATGCCTATCATCACGAACATGATGCTAGTTCGATTCCGCTCCAGGCCAACCAAGGCTCTCGTTCCTCCAGGGTCGGGAAATTGGTGCCGCACTTGTCTGGGAAAAAATCACTATCTGCAATCCAGCTGAGAACGCTTCAGCCCGGCATCTCAGAACTCAAGGGAGGGAAGAATTGCTCGACTAGTATTCTACAACATTCAAGGTGAAGTGAAAATCCTGAAGCAGTAGCCGAAGCCACATGTAAAAGTTGGAAGATCTTCGTGGACAATGGATGCGAGGAAACGAATCAAACGTGAAAAGCGTGTCAAACAAAATAAATGAAACTGTCGGATTGACTTTTTACACCAAGTTCTTCAATTGGAGTTTCAGACTTTGTTTCAAAAAGAAAGTTAACGTCTTCCGATGTTGAACATCATACCATGGAGGGAATAAAATTCGACTACTCGCCTATAGTAGTCAAGAAACTCGGCATCATTTGTGTCTTCCTTTACGCTCTCAGCTAGTTCCACTAGACTTCGAAGTTGTTGATTTATCCAACCAATATGAACTTCACCATTAACCTGAACACAGTGTATACGATTGACATCTTAAGAACCGAATTATACCTAACCTTAAAGTGAATAATTAATATTTTCGTCAAATAAACCAATAAAATCAATATCAATATCTCATTAATGCCTCATAGAGACAATTCCAGTCTTCTTCCCTGGGACACCGCGAATACATCAAACACAATTAATTGGGGCTTCAACACGAGAATAAAAGACTGTTACGAAATATTCCTTGGTAAAAACGATGGTTGAAAAATGAAGAGAAAGAGCTGAGAAATGATTGATGCAGCAAAGGAAAAGAATAGATGAAATCAGGAAAAATAGAGAAAATAACTCTGACCAGTTTCGTTTCCATAATGATATCACGATGTTTTTCACTAAGCACTGAGTTGCAAATCAGCTCTTGTACTTTCTTATTCGCCTCACCACGACATACACAAAGATCGGCCAGATAGTCCAAAAACCTGTAATCCTTTACGATTACGATCTGAAAGAAGTTGACACACCGTAATACAGAAAACACTGTGAAGCCGATTGTTCGCAAAATCCCGAGGTTGTTACATAAAATTCACGAACACAAATTTTGTAGCCTTGAGATCTTACACAAGCGCCTGCTTTCCATAGGATTACCCTTATAACTTTACTTCGTGCACACAGAACAATAGCTAATTCCTCTTACTATAGAACCTTTGTCTATAGAAATACGTCGATAGATTAAAAAAAACACATAACAAAAAAGAGATTGATGCTGAAGTAGGACATTCTCGAACAAGCTTAGATATCTGAATTTCTGAGAATTTCTGGATGATTATCGAACGTTCGTAGAATGTGAAGTTTCTTTCTATTTACGTTGTAAAAGTTATCAGACTCGATTGAAAACCATAAAATTCCATTGAAATTTATAGTCGTACACAACCACCAAACGACACCATGTTTCTTACCGTTAGATACGAACGATGATAACGAAAAGCGAATGCCTGTAAGGAATGAAAAATTCATTCAGAAATGAAGAACGAGGTTTATTAACCGGTCATTATAATAAACCAAGTCACAGTAGGAATGAGTGTTCTACTTTCCTCGAATGTCCATCCAGAATGATTCACTTACTTTCCCTGTCGGTTGTTACGAACAAGTTCAACGAAGCGTTCCACATGTGGAGTCTTTACATATTTCTCAAGAAGTTTCGGATTATTATGCAATACGGCCGTCATTGTGTCTTCAGCAAGCAAATCATAGCCAATTTGTTCCTGAATGACGAATAGTTTACAACCATTTGATGAAATTCTAGCAGGAACACCACACTCACTACTCATACACCCACCTGAATCTGACCAAACTTCTCCGCCAGAAACTCCTGATTTTTGCGATAGCTTACTTGAGAATATCTAAACGTCGTGCGTTCTTTGAATTGAATCCGTACCCAATATCACTTAGGTGCTTCTGACCTTAGTAAACTATAGCAGAGCTGGAACATCGTCTTAAACACTTCGTTCCGTCCCTCACTGAGATCCGATAACGAGCTGAGGAGTGGACCAATTTCCGTGACACCTTGTCGTGGCATGAAAGGTGCTTTGAGAAGTTGAAAAACCTGAACAATAACCAAAGAGGATAAGACGTAAATAAAAATGGGCATGAACCACAGCATCATAGAAAACCATAAGCATCTGATCAAGCAAATATGTTGCGTTCCAAAGCGTCTCACTATAGAAATGAGTTAATACATATGATCTTGGCGAATAAAAAGCAGTAGGGAAAAGCGTAGAAAAGCGAAAAATATTCAAAAACGTCGGGTAGAATACTAAGAAGCCAACCTGGTCAAGGACTTCCTGCTCCCTCAGCAATTTCTGCCGGTCACGTGACGGTGTGAAATCGGTGATTTGTAGGGGATCCATCATGTGATTTTTGGTGTTCGTTACAAAGTAGATGCATTCAGTGAGTAGTTGGATTGTAACGCTGAAATTATACTCGAACATAAAAAGGGACTGGTACGTTGGAAACCAAAGAATAATCACAGAAGAACGACAGACATAAAGGATCATGGAAGAAGTACGGAGTCTTGAAAAAGGGTAGATAAATGGAAGGAAGAGTAGATAAATGCATGAGTGAGTGGACGAATAAATCAATGAACGAAGAAATATATGAGTGAATAAATGCATAAAAGAATCAGCAAGTGATAAGTCAATGAATGAAAGAATCAATAGGTAAATAGATAAATGAATAAAGGCCTTATTGAATTACCATGCTAAAACGAAAGGCGCGTGTGGTGCAGTGGTCGGAGGCGCTCTGCAATATACGTGGGATCGATTCCCGCGCCCTAGGCTCACCAAGCCTTCTATCGCTCCGATTTCGACAAATTTGCACCAGATTTGTCTCGGAGGATAGCAATACTGGCTCAATACATCGGTAGGTCGCCGTGATTCATTGTAAAGGCCAGATATGCATTCAATCACCTCCAAACGATGCTTAGTGAAGTCGAGTGCATGAAGCATCCCTAAGAGATTGATCAACGTCAAGAGCTTTATTCTTTTATCATTTCATGCTAACACAAGGCTGCGAAAAAGGTTTATTCGGCTAACGTTTAGACGTCTTCATCTCTTGGCCCGGGTCGATGAACCACAGAGTGGTCACTCTCGAGAATCAATGTCAATTACTGGGCAACAAACGGACAACCACGTCGCATGGACGACCGACCACCTGTGGATCATCGACTCGGAACAATCCGGGTCTAAAGAAAGCGAAGACGTCCAAACGTTAGCCGAATAAACTTTTTCTTTATCAACCTCGTGTTAGCTTAACAATCCAAGAAAGTATTGATTATTAATGCCGGGGTTGGCTGACTATCGGCTTTAAAAAATAAGCAAAGAGATGGGAATGATGAATGGATACATGCATGAATGGATGAACGAATGAATTTTATTGATCGGTGCGGATCATTGCCTCAATCAACCTACTTGATCGCCTCCTTTGTCACCGGTTCACCGCTTCCAATTTGTCGTATGAAATTTCGTAACGCTCTGCACGCATCATTAGCAAAATCTAAATCGCGAACCTGTAACAAAACTCATAAATTCGATTTTTATAGCCCTTAAAATCTAAAAATTATTCGGAAAACTGTAAAAACATAATGTGCTCAATATATATTCTTTCCTTGATGAGCTTACACGAGGTTGATAATGATGTTTATTTTCGGCTAACGTTTCGACGTCTTTGTCTTCCTCAGAGCCGATGATCCGAGTCGATGGTCCTCGCTTGTTGTTCGCCTCGACGTGGCAGCTTCGCCTTCGTATCGAGTTAGGTCTTCTTCAGTGAGCCATCTCCTCGAATGAGGCATCCTTACTCAGTGATGCCCTTTTATCACTCATCAAAGAAAGAATACATATTGATTAGTGATACCGAGGTTCAGGGAAAGTCGGTTTCGAAATATAATGTACTCAGTTTTTATTTGCTGCTTATTGTTTTTAATGGCTGGGAATTATGTGAAATATAACAATTACGATGCAATCAACCGTCAATGAGATTGGTCTCTGGAGCACAAATCGGGATCGAACCCAGTTAAGCTGAAACTGTGATATAAATCACAACGGCATCAGTTTTTTATTTACTGCTTGCCCTTTTTAATGACAGGTTATTATATGATATATAACGGCCCGTGGTCCACCAAATCTTCCTTAACTCCGGTGCCGACAGATTGGTACCAGTCTTGTCTGGGAGGATAGCAGCACTGGTTCAATACATCGATAGGTTACCGCATGTCATTGTAATATCCAGATATGCAATCAATCGCCTCCAAACGATACTTAATGAAGTTGAATGCATGGCGCATCCCCTAGGGATTGATCAACGCCGAGAGCTTTATCCTCTTTATATAACCAGTGTGATTGCCGATGGAACCTACAGGTTAATAACAAGGCTGAGAGAAAGGCGAAACGAAGGACTCGCATGAAGTGGAGGTGAACGCGTTAGCCCACGGAAAGGGTAATAGCGTGCTGTGTCCCACTGCAGACACCAGTGGTCTGGAGTTTTGCAAATATCTCAGCATCATTGCGGTTATAAAAGCATAATTAAATGAATTAAAGAACAGTATATAAGCGTCGCCTAAGTGAATGATGCCTAAGCCTTCACTCTGAAGTAAAGGCTGCCAGAATGCGAAAGGAAAACGACTTAAGAGGAAAAAAAATTGGTGGGCATAGAGAGAAACAGAAAATAGCTAAGCAAATTTTAGTAGGTGACAATGACCTCATTTTAGCACAACATTTACACCTTCAAACCATTAGATAGAAAAAAGCATGACTTAGGTGGGAATCGTTCTCCTTTTAGGCACCGCATTCAAATAAAAAAGGATAAAGCTCTCGGCGTTTATCAATCCCTGAGGGATGTGCCACGCATTCGATTTCATTAAGCATCGTTTGGAGGTGACTGAATGCATATCTGGCTTTTACAATGACCCGCGGTGGCCTACCGATGTATCGAGCCAGTGTTGTTATCATCACAGACAAGTCTGGTACCAATTTGCCGACCCCGGAGCGATGGAAGGATTGGTGGGCCAGGGCCCGAGAATCAATCCATGTGTGTGTCGCAGTGGCGCCTCCAACCACTTTGGCAGACACGCCCCAGACACTGCACTTATAGGAACTTTTCTAGACGAATATTAGAATTAAAAAATTAGTGAATCTAGTGATATAGGTGAGCGAACTGAAGCTTCCAGAAAGAAATGAAAAAGAAGAAATGTTCGGAGCTGGTCAAGCCTCTAGAAAGAAGTTATTCATTTGACACCACTCGTTGAATTGTAAAGTTAAGAAGTGCATATTTGGCCAATATAATGACTTCTGCAAACCTAGCGGTGTACTAAATGTGTTTGTCCTCCTCAAGATAAGTTTCATACGAATTTCCTGGCCCTGGACTGTCGATTGGCTTGATGAGTCCAGAGCTCGGGATCAAACCAAAGGTAACCATGCAGGGCACCTCTCTCTGCTAGAGGAACTCAAAGTAAAATTTTTTTTGTAGCACGACCCCTGGAAAGATTGGTCTTCGACTAAATCTTACAAAAACGATGTTCATGAGGAACTGATTAGTTTCGTATGCCCCATTCACGGTCAACGGAACGAATATCTCCGAATGCTCCAGTTATATCTACCCTCGACGATCAACGGGACTAAAGGTGATACAGATGATACAGTACGACACCTCATTGAGATCTACTGTGGGGATCCCAGCTTTTGGATTTCATTCATTTCCTCGCACCAATCATCCACAAGGATTACGAGCTTTTCGCGTGTGGATTGGGCTGGTGTTTGAAGGTTCTTTTCCTCCTTATGAATATTGCTGAATACTGACCGAATTGATTATCTCAGCAGGAGGGCTCGGAAAGCCGGGGTAGACCGTTACTCGTTGGATTGCAAAGAGCGAACCATTTTCCGACAGGTCTGCGATAAATTTCTCGAACCATGTGGGATGTTGATAAGATCGACCAATTATTAAGGTAAACGTAGATCACTCATTATACGATGCTTCTTTTATTCACGTCTTTAGCTTTATGTGTTTCAGATTCCTCTCAAACCTTTGCGTAATGCAAAAACCTTGGGTTCAAATAGCTAACGAAATTCCGTCTTGGCCCCCTAAATAAGCCGGGTGGGTGAATAGAGAACTTCCCCCTTGAAAAGTTCTCTATCTATCTAAATAATAGTATTTGAAGTCCAAATATGGCCGCCTCGAACTCGCACATCAAACACCGCAATGTAGCCTTTTCTAATCTTCTCGATCAATTATGTTCAATGTTTCAGGCACAATAGCGATTCAGGTTTGACTTCAGTAGCATAGCGACGATGGCTTATCCGAAGGAGGCGTAACAGTGGAACAGTTTACTACTTCCTCGCGAAACAACGAAGCTAATGACGTTTGATGTTTCAGGCAGTTAGGTACAGTCTATTGCGGTCCAGGATCAACAATCCAGATTAACCGCGGTTGCATACGCTCGCGGCTCCCGCAGCCGATATAAGCCAGGTGCCTTCGACGGCGGAGGCATGCCATCACTCACCTTACCCCCCATCGGTAGCGCGGATAATCCGCTCCTCGCAACAGCATCCTCAATCGTCCTCAATCACCTCAACTCATTCTTAGTCATACTCATTCGTTCTCATTCAACCACATTCATTCACACATTCACATTCATCCTTCACTAATCAGCAGATTATTGTATCTCGTTTCTCAGCTTGTCTACGATGCGATGTCAGTGGTGGCGGTTGTTTCCAAATGCGTTCTGTTTGCAACGCCATCGGTTGTATGTACCATTCCTCCCACAATGTACGCAACGCGTACAATGCCGCTAACCGGCCAACTTGTGCTATATATTCTGCTAAGCCACTATAGGCCTATCAGTTTTGTAGCCATTTATCATACTGGCTGCTGACCCTTAGGCAATGGTAGCACCCATCGATGCTCAAAGTTCACGTTGCTGACATAGCGTTATTCACGACCAGCCGCCTGACTGTGTTCCGTAGATGACTCATCATTCACCGTCCATAGCACCGTCAACGCTCATGTAACTTACAGTCCTCATCGATCCACTAAAATGCTCCTCATCGCTATAATGTTGAAATCTTAGCTCAGCCGAAAACACGGCCAGTCTGTAACGCTCACCACCTCAGCATACTATCTCCCTCTCCGCGGCATACAATCTCCTTTCTCCGCCCCTAGCATACTGTCTACCTCAGCCGCTGCACCGGCCGTGGATAGACGCGGCGTAATCGCTCGCGGGTAATCAACGGCTACTTCGTTGTAATCTTATTATTATTGTCAATATTGTATTAATGGTATAATAATATTTGAATGCTATTGTCTCGTTATTAGCCTTACATCACTACAAGCTTTAGCACCTCAGAGCTCTAACTTGCGCCATTCCTCTACCATTACTTCTCTATTGTTACTATTATGTTATTAATACTGTCTTTATGCAATAAAGGTTTAATTACCCAAGTTTGCGGCTGACAGATCAATGCAGCAACTAGAAGACCCGCGTGGCTAATATTCTACACCAATCTGAACCGTTACACTTCGCCGTTAACCATTTCGTTACATGGGATGAAAGGCTTACGTGAGCTCTGCGTGGTGTCGAACAAGCATCGTCCTCGTGATGTTTGGCATCGCTAACACTGCTCTAGACGACCATTACGGTGGAAATGTAAGAAAGTAGAAGATTCGATAGGTAATTCGAGTTTCAAGACTTTCTTATACTTATAGGTTTAGCTTACTGCTAAAAAAGTCAACCCACTCATGAACACCGTACGGGTAACGAATTGATTTAATTAATTAATTAAATTTAATTTCTTTCCAAGCGTTGTTTGTTCCGTAAGCGTAAGGCCTTCTGAGTTTTCAGGAAGCTCCATAATTCTCAGGTGATTTTTCAGTTGCTAACGATTCATTGAAATTGGCGAACCTCATTTGGATGAACTGGTAACAAGGCGAATGTCTCCTTGTCCACACGATTGTTAGCGCAAATCACACGAACCCAACCTTTTTCGTTCTTACTGAAATATCAGAAATATTACAAGCTCATTTATACAACAATATAACTATTGTCTTCTTATTTCACCACCCTGTATGACTAGGACTTTTGCATCAATTGACTTCCTCAAATTCCTGAAAGTTTTTGTTACCATAACATGTAACCACCCACCACCCAACGGTTTATCGTCTCATTGTTTCTCGGAAGTGTTTATGGGTGTCGGGCTGCGATGTACAGTGGGGCGATTCATCCACTCAGCAGGGTCTCTCAAACTGAGGAGTCCAGCGTTTCCATCTAGAAGCGCAGCAAAGAGTGAAGCAATACCAGGATCCACCACCGTCCTGGTAGCAAAGTCGCATGGTGACAAATCTCCCTCTGATCTACAAGGACTACGACTACCCGTAGCGGTAAAGACCCCGGGCAGACTTTGGCCAGGCTGACCTCTTGATTCCAGGTAACCACAATTGCTTAACCAGCAAATCTCCGATAAGACGGAAATTATGCCGAGTCTCGCACAACTAGTGAAGACGGACCATCCAAGTATCCAGATAAGTAAGTATAATATAATAAGTATTGGTCAGTTTTCTAATGGATTCTCTATATTGTTCCATTTTTCATAATAAACAGCTTTAACCACAAGAATTGTAGCGAGCTTGCACTTAATGGTGTACAAATATTTTAAACAGACTATACTTCTCACAAAATCATGAGTGAGCAGCTGCTCAACGTACCTACTGTAGTACAAATTTTGTTTATCATTCGCGTTAGTGGCGTGAACCCATGTGTTGGTGACGTCATGTTGTAGGCGAACGTACGATTTGCACGGTACATCTTTATTCTAGAAAGTTCGAAAATACACAAAATATTTAGTCGAACGATGATGCAATCGATACCTACCAATTCAACACAGTCTAAAAGATCTTTGCTACGCGAATAGTTGTTTGTTTAAAAGTGGTCGATCTATTTTCTTAATTACTTCTATTTACCACCGCCACAAAAGTTCTCACTGTATTCCTGGTCATATCGTAAACTTTAGCATGTCCTGATGCCTTAGTGACGTGAATAAATACCTGCGAATGTCCATGAACTAACTATTGGAACAGAGACCTCATGCATGTGATTTTAGAATCTCATGTAAGCTTTGTAGTAGCGATTTGAATTGCTAACCATATAGACGAGACACAAGAAAAAAAGGTTCTGAAGAGTGGGATCCTCCAGAGAGTTAGCTACTGCAAAACCAAACTAGTTCCTAGTTCTAGCCATTGCGATATCAAGCTATCTTAAGAATATTTAGTGCCATAAAAAACCATAGAAAGACAAAGGATAAAGCACTCGGCATTGATCATCCTTGAGGAATGCACGATGCATTTTACTTCATTAAGCAACGTTGGAAACGATTGAATGCATCGCGAAAGTGCTGCTATCCTTCCATAGAAGTTTGGTACAAACTTGCCGATCCCAGAGGGATGTAAGGTTTGGTGAACCTGGGAGCGGGATCGAATCAATATGTATATTGCAGAGCGCCTTCGACCACTAAGCTACCCGCGTTCCCTTAAACAACCACACTTTCATATAATATCCTGCTGTTGGAAAAAATAATGGCCAGCAGACAAAAGTTATCCGTTGTGATTTTGAGTACAGCCACAGCTTAACTGGGTTTTGCGTCGATTTCTCTTCTCCAGATCTTTCCCATTAAGAGATGATTGCTGATGACACTGTTAAGGGTAAAAATACTGGCTGAGCGGAACGCAAAACGAGGGCCTCAATAGTGCGGTGCGTAACGCGTGAGTCCCCGGAAAGGTAATCGAGGTTCGATCTGACCTGATGTGCAAGTTTTGCAAACAGCTCAAGATCATTGGGGCTATAGTAACAACTTTGTCAGGTCGTTAAGAGCAGATGAGAATACGAGAGCACTTTTTTTATTCAGAAAGGATAGTAAAAAGTATGTATGGTTGGTTAGGCCTTGGACCTATCTTTTTGGGAGCCCTGGACGAGACCGTTTATTAACAGTGCTTCTAATCCGCGGGGCCGAAGCCAGCTGTAGATGAACGTGGTCGTCTTACATTTGTCACTAATTATCTACTACACGAAACGTATGGGGCCATTGCGGTGGAATGCTTGGAGGATCTATGCATTAAACACGTGGTCTTCGGTTCGAACCAGCATCCCAGATATACGAAGACTTTCATCCTTTCAGGCCAATAAACGTTAGTGTTTTTGCGATGATTATTAAGAGTGTTAACTTCTTACATCGCTAAGCACCCAGAAGTTATCTAATAAGTGAAATATGCATTCAATTACGTGTACGATGCTCAATTTTCTCTATGACGCTGGTTGGAGCGTATGGTGCATCTCTAAGGGATCTCACAATGTCAGATGTTTTACGATTTTACAATTTCGCAAAAACTATTTCATCAAACCTTTGGCATCGTGCCAGGATCCAGAGTGAACAGTAACCTTTTATCAGCTTCAGGAAAATCCGATTTGACTGGCACAAGAAAATACGTTCCCGAACAGAATTCGTCAGCAATTTCTGTAACGGTGAACCCAGTTATGAAAAAAGAATATTTAGGTGTTTTTTCTTTGTCTTCTCTACTGGCATGGTAGTAAACTTTTTAAGGCTCTCGGCTAGTGTTTTAACATGAACATAGATGTTGACTCTACCATGTAGAAAATTACTTGCTACGAAATTATAAAATAATAAGGCAAAAAATGAAGAAACTGACGGAGCTCTACGAAGATGAGACAATGAAGCACATTTAAGCAGTAAATGGTCATAAGTGATCTGTCCTAGGATCGACTTTCTATTAACCTCGGCATTGGACTATGAATTCGTCGTTTTCTCTCTCAGAAATATCGAGGTTGTTAAACAGCATACATTTACTTCCATGCAATAACAAACACAACACAATCGTAGTCGACGTTTCGGCAGAATCGCCTTCTTCAGAGCTTGGAAAGGTGCACTAATACGCAACTCACTAGGTCAAACGCTTCAATAGCACCAACAGAAAGATGAAAATCTGGACGATAATTACAAGAACTACGGCTTCTCAAAAACTCACCGCTTTTTTCACCTGTCTTCCACCTTCCCACATAAAAGAGCAGCTAGATGGCAAACGAAAAGTAAGGCAAGGTACGCCACTAGGCACGCATAGAATACAAAAGTATAACGGAGATGATTTTAATATAAAACTCGCTGTCCTCGAACGGAACCTTAAAACACCAACGCGCAAGCTCCTCGAGGCTTTTTGGACAAATGCCAAAAATCCTACAATGAATAGCAGCGAGGAATGCGCTGAGATCACATGTGATCTCGCCCCGTGCCTTCGTATCGATCGTTGATGTGGGGTGGTGCAGTCGTCAACCATATGCGACTCTGAGTTTCGAGAACCCGTAGTTCTTGTAATTATCGTCCAGATTTTCATCTTTCTGTCTGTGCTATTGAAGCGTTTGACCTAGTAAGTTGCACATTAGTGTACCCTTCCAGGCTCTGCAGAAGGCGATTCTGCCGAAACGCCAGCTACGGTTGTGTTGTATGTGTGTTATTGCATGATCTGTCCTATTAAGAAACACAAAAAACAACGAACAAATTCCGCTAAATGAACGGTAGTGCCTGATTTTCAGGGAAATTGAACTGAATGGATTTCGTATCCGACAATTCATGGGTGGACTTTAGCAAAGTTTACAATTCCTCCATGAAATAAATTCCTGGACGGCTAAAAAATTTGACAGGCTTGGTTGGCCCGGAGCGGTATCCAACTAGCACCATGCTGGTGATGACGGACATCTATACGACTGTGCTACCCTCCCTTGAAAAGTTTGGTTTAATTTTAAGCTGATTGAAATGAAAGTTTAGAAGATCATTTAGTAAATCAATAAAAAACAAATAAGTAAATGAATATTCACTGGACGGAAAATATTACCAAATCCGTCGGCACAGAGCTGTTCGCTAGGTAGACCAAGCAGTTCAGCTTTCGTTCTGGAAAGAGCGCATCACTTATACTGACAACTACTATAAGTTGAGTTGCAAGCACAACTACAACGGAAAAGATTTATTAACAAGCTTGGCGACAAGCTTATGCTGTTTTTGGGAAAACCGAGTCCATTCAGCTTCAGAACGAAAAAAAATCTTTTATAAACTGAGTTAGCCATTAATGATATGCCCTTTACGCACCTTTCCACAGTACTTTCGATTTTACTGAAACTCATTAGGGCGTAATTAACTATTAGCAGTGTTAAGTCGTACTAAATAGCATTTTACAATAGTAAATAGTCAGCGCAATGCGTTTCGTCATAGTGGGTTTCATGGGAACGCTAGGTAAACAGATTAAGATGAGGTTCTAAAGAATGGTTACTTTGGTATAAATGTAAATCCTGCATCGTATTTCCTATGGTCACAAAATGCTCCATACTGGAGTATAGTATCATACAAACTAGGAAATCCAAATAGTAATAAGTGGCATACTTCATTTGCATAAGATTAACTCGTCGGCAACTAGTTGACGGTTTCATCGCCGACGTTGTTGGGATGGCTGTCAGGTACATATCGGTGGCCAGATGCTTAAACCGATAGTACTCTCGCCAGTTAGCAGCACCTCCTCGATAAGCGTCCTTCTGCACCACCTGTAAAAGACCCCACAGCTAATACTTCCATTTTAGCGCTGAGTTTTCAAATCTGTTTTAAAGAGCGATGGGATAATGTTAAACTAATGACACTCAGGAATTTATCAAGAACAATAGTAATAGTATGAAGAATGAATCGTTTGATGTTGATTAATCACTGTGAGGTGCGTCTTGCATTCAGTTTCATTGAGCATCGTAGGAATTGACTGAATGTAAATCTGGAGTGCGCAATGGCTTGTTGTGCATAGCCGGTGCATGAAGTTAGCGTTTTTATTCTCTCGTACAACTATGACAGCAGTTTGCCGATCCCAAAGGGTTGGACGGCTTGGTGAGCCCAGTCATAGGACCGAACCAGAAATCAATTCAGTGTATATTACAAAACACAGCTAGCCACTGCGATTCACATGCTCCTCAGAATACTATTACAAACTCAAACGCTTAAAGCTTTAAAACCACGAAGGAAATGGAGACAGGTTGCGGCTACGGTCATTTAAAGCGTGGTTCAGGTTACACGATGTAGCCCAATTTTCTACCTTGATGAGTTGATACTAGATTCGAATAGAGTATCAGGTGAGTAATCAGGCAAAAGCAGAACATCAATAGGACGAACAAATAATCAGAAATTCACGATATTGATGCAATTTTATACTTCTTTTCCCTTGCTCTTCATAATTTTTAATCGTTCCTCCGTCACTAATCAAACATATAACCTTTTTCAATTAGTCGGCTGAACTTCACCTGTACTTCCCATAGTGCCCTGGAGCTAGTCGCATCTGCGGCCGATGGGCGATTCGTCATTCGGAGAAAGACGACGTCCTGAGGAGGCGATGTATTCGGCACAGAGTCTAGTGTTAAGAAAGTCTGCTGATCAGCATGGAAAAGTCGTACCACGTCTCCCTGAATGTCACCCTTAGATGGTCTAAGAAGGAAGGAAAGAACTTGCTAAATTTCAGCGTTTTTGAATTATTATAAAATAAAACAGAACAAGCCATACTTTGATTATTCACTCATTCAGTTGTTTTTTAAGCCAACATAGTTTTAAATGATGAAAAGCAATAAAGCAGTTTAGTAAGCAAGACACTAGCAATATTCATTGCAGACATAAAGTAGTTTTTAAAAGACAATGTAAGTTCCAAATTCTTCTTTCATTTTTACTTGATAGTTACTTTGTAGTTGATATTTTATTGCTGTTTCAACGAAATCGCACAGCATTCGTCAAAGATTAGGGTCAATATATTTCTTTTCACAGTATTACTCTTTGTACTGCAAAAAATAACTCCGTACTTTAAGAAAACTCCGAGATTTGTGATCCGGTTTTCAAATGGATGACAGGAGAACCATTCTATAGTTCGCAAAACTCCCGGCTGCAGATGTTTGCGGTGGAAAACGAATGCGCTGTTACTCTTTCTGCTTCAGTTTCACTGGGTTCGTTGCCGATTTGAGCTACCTCTAAATCAGTCCCGTTGATGGGTGATTGAAGATGGCGCCTATCGATAGAACTAATTGAGAGACGAGTGAAACGGAGGACCCGCATAGTGTGGTGGTGAACGCGTTAGCCCCGGAAAGGATAATAGCGCGTTCGTTCACCACCGCAGACACCTGCTGTCCGGAGTTTAGCAAATATCTCAGCATCGTTGTCGTTGTATTTCGTGTAATACCCTGCCATAAAAATTATAGAAGGCAGAAGATAAAAAGCAAACTTGTCATTCTACAGTTATTTAGGTAAAATATCGGTTAGGAAAAATAACAAGAAAATCTACTGGCGCTCACCGATTTAATAATATCGGGTTGATTTTCGTTGAACAACAAGAACATAAACACCTGCCATTCTGTGGATTCGTTAAGACAATTCACCTTAAGCACAATTTGCAACAAATTAGCTAGAAAAACGTTAGAAATTAAGGTAGTAGGTTACGGTAGCGTGTTATATACCTCTACGGCCGTCTGATGATCTTTGAGTAGGAAATGACTCAAATGAAGTTGATGCTTTACGTGACCCGACGATGACTGATTATTGACGGAGTAGGGTATCAGCGAGATTTTGTTTCCAGCAGCGACCTGCAATAAAGCTAATATGAGATGATGGTAATGACTCATTAAAGTAGTGAATTGTTTTTTAAGCTCACTAATATTCAAAAACGATTTCTTTAACATTATCATTGTATTAATGCGAAATAATATTTGAAATAAAAACTTTAGCACTCCATTCGTTGGTCAGTCCATTATAGAATTTTCTGTCAACCCAGAAGTATCGGAATACTAAGGCAATACAGTACCACATAACTTGAAAGTACGGACAACTACCTGCAGTGGAGACGTGGATACCCGCCTTAAGACAGCTATGTCGATATTCTACTGAGAGTCACTCTCGACATACACTTAATATGATCACTGGGAAAAATACGACAATTGCGCCGGCTGAACATTGGTGGCGGTACGAACGAATGAAGTGCTAGAGGCAGTTGAACATGTGAAATGGGTTCACCTATGTGTCTAAGCAGATGAGTGCTTATAATTGTTCAGCTTCTCGGTGAGCTATTTAAAAATTTCACAATCGAGATATCACCGCTCTGTAATGGTGTCAACATAGAAGTAATGAGAAGAGTTCGACAAACGAAACATCTCGCCGGAATAATTCAGAGCCACCCTGGAGAACTCCTTCCAGAAGTACGAATAGGATAGAATGCGAGTGAAAGGAATGTTCGGAAACTACACAATCTTTTGTTTTGTTTTTGTTGATGACACCGTTCTTATGATAACAAGTATTAGCCAGGCTGAACGAGTGCTTAACCGACTTTGATACGCTTCCGAAAAGAATATATTCGACTAAATCTCGCAGAAACGAGGTTTATAACGGCCAGATTTGTTTTTGATGCGCCAATCGTCTTCGACGAAACGAATAATTTCGAATGCACAAGCTATGCATGTCTGCCTCGGAAAGTCAACATGAATAACGACGTAGTTCCAGAGCGAGCGGATTGGGAAGCTTTCAAGAGCATCGAGGATATAGTGAGAAGGACAAGAACATCCGACCTCATGCACACCTTTTCTGTCCAAAGATTCTTCCTCTCACAAAAGAGAGGGTAGTGCTGAGAGCATTTCGTATCACGTAACTGAGCGAGAAAATCCGAATCTCCGAGTTATATCAACAGTCGAAAGTCAGAGACGTTCTCTTACGTGGATACTTGGATACTTGGACGATCCGTTTTTATGAGTTGTGTAGTCCCCAGCACATAAGCCATTCGTTCCTTTCCCTCGCAATCGCGGTCCATGGTGGTGGTCTTATTCGAGCATGGTAGCGCTTGGAGTCTCATACCGTAATCTGTAGAACAACCGCCGCTACGTGTACAGCTGATTAACTTCGTTTACGAACACGTCCGCCGAACGTGCAGGTGGTCGTCGAAGGGGACGTTTGCATTCTCTTGGAGTCCACTCTACTGTTCCTTTCGTCCATTTGTAGTCTGTTCTTCTCATTATGTAACCGGCCCATCTATGTTTCGCTGTAGGTGTATATTCTCCTGGATCTCGAGGATGTGACAGATTTCGAAGGCCAGAGCCTCGAATTCCGGCTGGATATTGACAGTGCTGGTTATATTTCAGAAGACATCACTCAAGTGCTCTATGTAGTGCGAAGCATTCTTGACGTAGTTGAAGTATCAACCTACGTCTCTGCAACACAACACAGCGCTAGGAGGACCGTGGAATCGAAGAGATAAGCGCGGACTTTCAAATCCTTCAGTTGGTCGGTGGCTTCTTTGAGAGCTACGGATGCGGCCCAAGCTGCTTTCCTTCTTCTATCTAGTTCCTTATTCATGTTGTTTTCCATGTCCATTGATCGGTCAAGGTATACGTAGGAGGTGTTCTCTGCAATGAGAGAGCCATCCAATTCAATTTTTTCGCCTTCGAACCATGGGTTTTCCATTAACTGGGTCTTCTTTCGATCCATGTTCAGTCCGGTCTATTTCCTCGCTTTGTTGAACTCGTTGATCATCATCTCTGCTTCGCTAGTACCTCTTTAGAAGATGACAATCTCGTCGATAAAACGAAGGTTTGATAGGAATTTTCCACCAATACGTATGCCCTTCTCATCCCAATCGAGTGACTTCATTATACACTGCAGTGCGGCACTGAACAGCTTTGGCGATATTGTCTCGCTCTGTCGAACCCCTTTTCACATGGGTATGGTAAGAGGTCGATAGAAAAGCTGTGTTTTCGCAGTGCAGTTCCGATAACAGTCGAACAGAATTCTTATGTAGGACGGGTCCACTCCTTGGTCGGCGAGCGCTGATATGTTTGCATTCGTTTCGACACTGTCAAACGCTTTTTTATAGTCGACAAAAGTTAGGACTAGAAGCAAGTGGTACTCCCGACGAACTTCGATGGCCCTAGACACAGTTTGAATGTGGTCTATGCAGCAAAATCCTTTTCGAAATCCTGCTCGACTGGTTGCGCCAATGTCCTTGATATGTGCGAGAGGATAACCTCCGTGAAGAGCTTGTGGAGTACACTTAAAAAGCATATGGGACGATAGTTACGAAAAACCCTTCGGTCTCCTTTCTTGGGTAGGATAACCGTGCGCAATGTCCTCCACTGGCCTGGGATTTTCTCGTTTTGAAGGTAGCCTGTCATATGATTTGCGAGAAGTGCATGTGAATTGTGGCCTCCAGCTCTAAAGAAGTCGGCAGTGATATTATCGGATCCTGGAGCTGTGACTCTTTTCATGCTTTCTATCGCAACTCAAACCTCCGACGGAAGAATTCCAGGTGGTTTTTCTCCAGCGGACATATTAGGACCCGGGACGGGGATTGTGGAACGAAAAAGGTTGGTGTAGAACGTTTCTGCTATTAATTCCATATCATGGCGGAAAGCTTTGACGATTCTATTCTCGTTCATCAGGGCATACAGCGGAGCATTATAATCACACAAGTCCCGACGGCATGTTTTCAGACTGCTTCTTTTCTCTGCTGGTTCCAGTAGTTTCTTCTGCTTGTAGCGTTGTAGATCTTCCTGCAAAGCTCTTCGGCAGCTCGCATTTATTACTAGCCATGTCAAACGTATTGCAGTAGGATCAAGCTTCAGTTTCCTTCTCTTTTCGATCAACTCCTTAGTAGTGATGGAGATGCGATCCGATCTTCTTCCTTGAGGAACTGAGGCGAATTCGACACAGCTTTTCGGTCCTTCGACAAGCAGCTCGTAGTCCTCGGTCGGATCTTCTTCAATCTGCCAGTCACGTTTGGACAGGACTTCATTCAGAATGTTCTCGTCGTATACAGCTAGACTTTTTCCTCGTGGAGATTGGTCGATGGAGAGAGTTCTTTTTCAGCTTGCGGCTGAATCGAATCTTCGCGTGACGACGGCGGTGACTGGAACCAGTACAGAATGACGGGACTACCGATGTGTCAAGTAGGCATCATCTTCTATTTGTCAGGATATGGTCGATCTCCGCATGAGTCATGCCGTTGGGAGACTCCCATTTCCAGCGGCGGCTTTCTTTCTTCTGGAAAAACGAGTTCTCATAGAAGAGACGTGATGCTGACAGGAGTCCTGCGAGACGGTTCTCATTCTCATTTCTTTCTCCTAATCCAAAATTTCCGATCCTGTATTCGCGTTCGTTTGCCTTTGCTATTCTGGCGTTGAAGTCTCCGACAACAAATTTATGATACGCTTTACCATTGCGAATGACTTCCTCCAAATGATAGTAGAACGCATTTAATTCGTACTCATAAACTGCGTCAATCAGCGAGTAGGAGTTGATGACAGTGATCGTCCTATAATGCGAGAGTTGAAAACGGAGGACGGCTATGCGAAGCGAAAGGATCTCGTATGAGTCGAAGAGATGGACAACGGGCGGGTGGACGTTTTCTAGGACGCCAAAATGTCGAAAATCAAGTGGGCAGGGCACGTGATGCATCTGGATGACAGCCGATAGACAGGAGCCATTAGCGACTGGATTCCTAGCGATATCAAACTTACCGTAGGTGGACCACCGATGTGATGCTCAGAGTCCTTCGCGAGAACTCTGGCAGAAAAACACGGTGCTCAACAAGTCTCTAGAGCCAGTAGAACCACTAGGCTAATGTTGTACCCGACAGGGACGAGTGGAAAATTTACTGGAGCTCGCTCAAGTCACTCGATGACCAATGGAAGTAAAGGTGACAAATGCAATTTTATTATTTTACCCCTAATATTTCACAGCTGTAGATGGATGTTTCATCCAGCCATCGAAACGAAATGCACTGCGAGGCCTCTCACTTGAGCTGAGATGGATTCGGATATTTCCAACGGAAAACCGTCTGTTGAGAGCAAATTATTGTCATGATGGGATCTAGCGAGATACCTCTATCTATCTTCTCGCGAAAAAGCATTCAAAATAAGAAAGTTCACCACAAAATTCTGACTTCCTTCGGGTTGCTCGAATGATCAGAGTCGATTGGGCATTGCAACAGTGACGAATGGGAGCTCCAAATACACGAGCGTTGACCATTATCAATGGTTTAGGTCACTTATTTACTTACTTTGTTAGTTCTTAACTTTCTTTTACATAAGCCTACGAAAACGACAAATCAGAAATAGGAACGAAATAAAAACGCTAGGCAGCGTGAACAAAGGTAGGAGAAAAGTGGGAAAAAAAATTCCATCGGTCAATGGAAAGCATTGAGCAGTAAATGATGTTAAGGGTCAAATTCTATTTCGAATAAAATGTGGAACAAAAATCTGTCGAAGAAAGCAATTCAGTGCAGTATTTTTCCTTACACTGTCTCCAATAACGTAGTGTTTGTAAGCGGGTTCAATGATAAACCAACTGCCTTCATTCCCTGCACGATCAAGGTAAACCTGAAAGTGAAAAAAGAAACTTTTGAGAACAAACTTAGTAGCTGAGATATTTGCAAAACTCCTGACCGCAGGTGTCGGCAGCGGGGAACAAACGCGCTACTACCATTTCTGACGGATAACGCATTCACTACCACACCATGCTTGTCTTTCGTTTCGCCTGTCTACCAGCTAGTTCTGTCGACCAGTGCCATCAGCAATCACCCATCAACGGGATTGATTCGGTAAAGCATAAATCGGGATTGAACCTAGTTAAAACTAGCTGGGAGACAACTTGAAAAACTGACTTTCTATAAACCCCGACATAAATAGTTGATATATTTATTTATACCATCTTATAAACCGATCTTGTTGAGCTGATGCTGGGTTGCTATAAGTTTTTGTTGTCGTTGTTGTTGTTCTTGGTGTTGTTGGTCGACGACTGACGTTTCGGCGATTTCGCCTTCCTCAGAATCTGGACGTATGTATGTAACACTAGCCCTGTGTTCGGTGAAATATTTATAGTATTAATAAAAATCAAACACGTAAATAAACGCTATATTTGTCAGAAAGACTACTCACAGTGCTGATACGAGTGGGGCTGTCCCACGCGTTGTTCACGTAGGGTCGCGAGCAAGACCCATCTAACTCAAAAAATCACCTCGAAAAAAGGCGCCAGGTCATGTTTGATAGTGAAGCATTCGCCTTCCCGGTTTATCTTTGGGTTTTTAAAATTTATCCAAAACATCTCGAGAGTTTTGCGCGTTGATGTCTTCGATTCCTGCGCTAGGATCCGCACAGTCACTTCAAAATCATCGCCGTTGTGCTTTTGTGCCCAATGTGTACCTAGAAGAATGTTTTGACGGATTTTAACTTCCCCATCTAGATGTTCTTTATGCGGACATAAAGTAGTCTACCAATTATGTAACGATTGTTTACATTCCACCCAATACCCTACGCCGTCAGTTAGTTCGCAACCGTCTCTATGATCGTTTATGCAGCTCAGAAAACTGTACGATCTGTCCCAACGGGAGAGACGACGATTGCACGAGTTCAGGCACAATATATTTGATTTCATGTAAGTCGTGCGGTGAGGAATACATTGGGGAAACGGGTAGATCACTTTGTGTCCTCATAAAAGAACACCTAGAAGGGAAAGTGAAAATTTGTCAAAGTACTCCTCTAGGTACACATACACATAAGGCATAAAAGTACAATGGCGATGATTTTGAAGTGACTGTGAGGATCCTAGCGCAGGGATTGAAAACATCAATGCACAAGACTTTTGAGCTGTCTTGGACAAATTTGAAAAATCCAGAGACAAACCGGAAAGACGAACGCCTTACTATCACACATGATCTGTTTCAAAATGATATTTTGAGCTGGGTGGGTCTCGATCGTCATCCCAAGTGAACAACATGTGGGCAATCCCATTCATAGCAGCACGGTGAGTAGTCTTTTTGGTCAATTTGGATATGGCGTTTGTTTATATGTTTGACTTCCATTAGTACTATAGATATTTTAGCGAATGTAAGATTACTGTTACATTAAATATGTCCAGGTTCTGAGGTAGGCGAAATCACTGAATCGTCAGCCATCGAACGGCAACAACAGCAACAACGACAGTAAAAACTTACCCACTTCGTATCAGCTCAACTGGGTCAGTTTATAAGATCATATAAATAAATAGCTGAAAAGCAGGCGAAACTAAGGGCCCGCATGGTATGGTGGTGAGTGTGCTAGCCCCGCAAAGGGTAATAGCTCGTTCGTTCTCCACCGCAGAAACTTGTGACCCGGAGTTTAATGCAAACATCTCAGCATCATTATGGTTTTATCTCACATAGTACCCTACCATGAAAGATTGTAGTAGACAGTAGACAAAAATTTAATAAAATTAGTAGCATTTGCAGTAGCAATTTACCGATCTCTACGACTGAATTTAAAAGAAAAACCATTGAGGCAATTCAATGATAGTAAAAAAGAAAGGTGTTGCGTGCAAAACAACGGCCAAAGATGGGTTGCAATATAGACGTGGCCGCAAGTCCAACCACGCTCCTGCTCTAACCAAGCTCTCCATCTCTAGAGGATAAGCAAATCTGTGTATCAATCTGCTGGAAAACACTAAAGAAGTCATTGTACAGCTCAAACATACACTCAGTCGTTCCAGTGGTGCTATGAATGGAATCGAGTGCACGGCCTACTACCAAGTGAGTAATTAAGGCCGAGCACTTTACCTTCTTTTTTAAACTAAAAAAGAGACCTCGTAATTTTGAAAAGCCTAGTCTAACTCGATAGTTTTAATAAAGCAGTAGTAATCCTGTAGACAGTTGCGGGTTGCCTCATTGACGGCACCAAGACGTGCGAGCCCGAACATACTTTTTGTCGTAGTCTGTTGATGCCTTTATGCAATCAGAACGATGAACTTTTTTCTCCTTATCGGATAGGTCATAAATGAATATAGGACGCTGTGGTTTAGCCTTAGCTAGGTAATCGGGATTTTGTAATCCGGTTTCTTCTAAAAGCTGGCGACGCAAGAGGGAATTTCAGCTACACAAAGTTGTTCGATAACCAGAAACCTCACTATCGGTGCTCAAAAACAGGAAACTTTCCAGATTTCAAAAAATGGCACCGAGGCAAAATTAATTAAGCCATAAATGTCGGGAATTTTGAAGAGGATTAGAGCGTTGGTCGACCGTGGATGAAAATGTTTAAACTAAGCAGATATTTTTCAAACCGACGAATTATTGAATTTACACTAGGTTGATAAAACTGCTTTTTTCGGCTAACGTTTCGACGTCTTCGTCTCCATCTACTCCGAAGCCGATGATCCGATTTGATGATCAACAGTTGGTCGTCTTCGTTATGTGCCGTCTTCGTCATCGAATTGAGACAAATCTTCATCATTGGAACAGTGCACGAATGAGGCATGTCCACCCGGTATTGCTCTTTTATACAGAGTGGCCAGTTGCTAGGTGCTAACTAACATAATACCGACTGCTGTAGGATGGATTAGCTGTTGAAGAAAAAATTATTATCAACGGATTGTTATATCAACAACAACCCCTTGTATACAAGAGCAATGCAGAGTGAGCATGCCTCATTAGTGCGGTGCTCCGCTGAAGATCCGTATCTATACGACGACGAAGACGCCGCATTGAGAAGACGAACAACTGTGGACCATCGACTCGGATCATCGGCTCCGATGAAGATGAAGGAGTCGAAACGTGAACCGAATAAAACAATCTTGTCAACTTTGTGTAAACCTAACAAATCGAACATGTTAAGCAGATAATCAATGACGGATAAAAAATCAGTATTTCTCAGTGCTTCTACGAAAAAGGACTAACTTTCATAGCGTTGCGCTCGCATTTCGCTGGTGAGTTTTTTTGCACCGTGACGTACTTGTCGGATTTTACATGCAGTAGTTGTACGGTAGTGCCATACTGGATCACATTTCCAAGTGTTTTACGAAATTCCAGTTCGTTCTGCTCCTTTTCCTGCAACGCTTATACAGAATACATATTGGAATCCAGGTAAAAATCTATGTAAACTAACTTCAGTAACGCTGAGATATTTGCAAAACTCCGGAACGCAAATGTATGCGGTGGGGGATGAACGCGCTATTGTTCTTTCCGGGGAGTAACGCGTTCACCACCACACCATACGGATCCGTCGTTTCGCGTGTCTCTCATCTAGTTCTATCGATCTCTGCCATAAGCAATCACCCGTCGGCGGGATTGATCTAGGGACCCCTAGCTGAGATACAGGCGAAACGAAGGACCCGCATGGTGAGGTGGTGAACGCGTTACTCCCCGGAAAGGACAATAGCGCGTTCGTTCCCCACCGCATACACCTGCGGTCCGCAGTTTTGCAAATATCTCAGCATCAACGAAGTTATATTTCGCAACATGCCCTGCCATTAAAAAGAGTAGGCAGTAAACAAAATTGTTAATATCATGTAAATTAAGGTTTTCTGTACATTGACTAAGTGATACAGTAAGAACAGGAAAGCAATAGCAAATGGTTATAGCAGAAAAAGCTCTGTTGAGAGTCAAACAATAATTTCGTTTAGGACCAAAAATGGAGTTTTAGCAAAACCCAGGATATTTTGAAAACCGAGTATTATTTACTGGAGTCATCAATAATCAAAATTTTGTTGTGTGCATGAACTGAGACATGGTTGTTACAGAAAACCGGCTGCTACCGTCTGCTTGGGGATGGAGATTGCCTTCATGAAAGCAAGTCGCTATTAGTGAATAATAATTAACTTGTCAAGAACCGTTTTGTATAAAAGGGCGTTGATGAGTCAGCATACTCATGCATTCGTGTGCTGCTGCACCAGATTCACCTCTACATACTAAAACGAGTCACATCACAACAAACTACTGTTTCCATTCGATCCGAATCATCGAGTGCCATGAAAAAGATCAAGGCGTCAAAACGTTAGCCACAGTAAGCAGTTTTTTCTAATGACTTCATGTAAGCTCATGAATGTGACAAAAGATTGTTCAAACAGTTGTCCTTCTCTACCGTTGACGTTTGTGCAGGCTTTTATCGTTGAAAGAAAAAGGAAATAAACAGCGAAAAACAAGAACATCAAGAGGAATTTAACTCCTTAGGATGATCATCTACTTATAAACAAGTCGCTTTCTTTTCTAGGCGATGAAAGTGACCGACGATTTGAGAAAAAGGAAGATAAAAGCAATATTCTGTTCTAGTTTTCTACTAGAATGACTAATAATTTTAGAAATACTCAGACAAAAATAAAAATGAAACAAGGCTACAGTAAAAATTCGTATCAATAGAAATGATATATCAGTGCTTTGGCTCCCATAATGTCATTTCGCAGACCATTTCAAGTGGTTTTTAGTAAAATACGGTGCCAGAATTAGACCTTCTCAGCCGCTATTCGCAGTTTATTCATCATATCGTTGTCAAACGTTGACTCGCCACTGACGAATCGTTTCTGCTCTGTCCAGAATTGTTTCTGTGCCGCGTAGCGATTCACCGGACAAACTTTGAAGAGACAGTCTGAAACGAGAATAATATGGTATACATTACAAACAGGCATCGGGAGCTATCCATGAAAGTTCTGCAATTTACTCCTTCACTGATTTCATGTATAACTATATTGCTAAAATATGTTACTACGTGAACCGATATCACATGTTATGCTGATCCCAGTGTTTCGTGCTTTCGAGTCATTTCCTCACATTTACAATTTACGACCCTCGTTAACCTTATTGCCTGTGGTACGCCTGCTGCTTAGGGATTTCGCTTTAACAAATAATTCTTGACTCCACAGGGAAGAGGGATAGCAGGTTCTGTGGGCTCAGGGCGACGTGGGCCTGGGTTGGCTGGGCCTTCTACATAGTGATCGGCATTGCTGCCAACTACGCTACCCTCCACTTATTAATAGTGTAATAATGATAAGAATGAGAGGCGCTGGTAGTGGAGATGTGTCATGTATCATGTCACACGAGGGTGTGTACTCCCCTAGGAAAATCGTCCTATCGCTCAGGGATCGACAATTTAATGCAACTCTCACCAATCCACAAAGGCTAGTTAGGGGAGGAAAGGTGAAAACTTAGGAAGCTAGTACGGCTATCAAAAGATTTCAGAGAGAACCTACACTAACAGACTGCAATGACATCCCCGACGAAGAACACAATATTCTCAGGCAAGAACCGAAGAGTTCCATTGCTCTCCGTGTGGAATTCTCAGTAAAAGGCTCATAGAAAGCGGCTCCGAAAAAAAAGATAAAAGCCGCCGAGACCGAGACGTCACCTTTCGTCAATAAAGACTGTAGTAACAGAGTAATCTGTGCTCATCAAGAAAACAGCGAATTTGGACCCGAAGAGTTCGTGGATGACGAGGGATTCGAGAAACCGAAACCCAAGAAACAGGTACAAAGATCTGCGCAAAATGTGACAACGGGTAGTAAACTGCCGCGTTTGAACCATTTGTGGGTCCTATTAACATTAAAGAAAGAGCGAATGAAAGCTTACTCACTTAATTGCTGATTTATTTGCCTTCATAATAAACAAACATTTGAAACACGGAAAAAACCTTGCCTAGTGAAAAAATGCTTCGAATATCACAAACCTCGAAATTTTTTCGGTGGACTTTCTGGTCGACCATCTCTTAGTTCCACTATACATCGATCATCAACCAAACTTTAATGGGCAATTATGAGGTGAAAACTGTGAAAATCTGCGCTTACAATAAGAAATTATTCAAAAAAAACAACTTTCATTTTTTTATCACAAATGAAAAATATGTTTTTACCAATTAGAAGCAGTGTCTCATAGGGCTGCAAAAAAGCAAAAGTAGTAGCAGTAGGCACAAATGAAACTACAAATCTCCAAAATTCATGCGCGACTTATGAGACACAAGTGCACGGATCGAGTGGAACGCACCCTAATGTGCTGAGGAAACCACGTACATCGGCCGTTTCTTCCGTATAGAGTGAAATAATATCACCAAAATGTAATAACGATGTGTTGCCGTTGTCCGTGCTCATACACAGTGAGTTTTTATGCAGAAATAGACGTGACATGCTGGAAAACACAGATATTTCACAACTTTTTGTAAAGAACTGATGGGCGATGGATCCTCGTTGCCAGGAAGGAAATGTAATTCTTTGGATTTTTTTAGATGCTATTGAAATATTGGAAGAAAATCTATATGAAATGAACAACACGTATTTTTGTGCGAAGTTTTTCACTGTCTAAGAGAAAAGTAGTTGGAAAAACACATATTGCATAATTACAATGATGCTGAGATATCCGCAAAAGTTGGACCCCTGGGGCAGACCGAACCGCTGTTTCCCTTTCCGGGGCTCGCCCATCACACACTGCGCCAAGGAGGCCTTCCCTCTGCCTTTCTCTCAGCTAGTTTTCTACTTAACGCCACCATCAGCAATCACCCGTTAGCGGTATTGATCCAGGGAGCACAAATCGGCATTGAACCCAGTTAAGCTGAGGCTGTAGCCGAAATCACAATTTTAACCTCATACTTTCTTCTGAGCATGTAATGCGCGAGCCCCCGTAAAGCGAAATCGTGGTTCGATCTGGCCAGGGTCCAAGTTTCGCGAATATCTTAGCGTCGTTGTAGTTGTTATTCACATCATACCCTACCGAAAAAATTATAGTAGGCAGAAAATAAAAGGTTAACGCTGTGATATTGCAAAATGCCTTGTCGAGTGTAGATGCGTCTTAATAAGCAATGATATTAACAAAAAAGCAAGAAGAATGGAGTAATGTAGTAAAAGCAGGAGAAATTCAACGTATAAATTATTTAGATACGTCTTTTTTACGATAAAAAGATAAAAGAGATAAAACTCTCGGCGTTGACCAATCTCTGAGGGAAGCGCCATGCATTCGACTTTCTTAAGCATCGTTGGGGGTGAATGAATGCATATTTGGCATTTACAATGACTCCCCGTGGGCTACCGATGTAATCAGCCAGTGCTGGTATCCTCCCAGACAAGTCTGGTACCACTTTATCGATCCCGGAGGTATGGAAGGCTTGGTAAGCCTGAAGCGCTGGGATAGACCCCGTGTGTGTTGCTGGGCGAATTCGACCACAGCGCTACACGTGCCCCCTCTTTCCTTCAACGATATTGATTAAAATGTGGAAGAAAAGAAGTGAATAGAAACTGAGCGCAATCGATTGACGCGTGATCTCCGATCTGCTAATGGTGACTGCTTCAGCATTTAACACCCTGCCGTTTCGTTATCACTCCTTTATCACCACCCCTCTCAACACCTTTTCATACCCGGTGCAAAAAAATTCTCTCCTAAACCCTTACATTTGTATGGTGAGCATAACGTTGTTCTTATTTACATTGAATGGATTGAAATTTACGACCGTAAGCATTTGTTAGAAAATTATTTTGCTAGTAGTATAAAATTGACAAAGGACCAAAATAATCAAAGTGGTTTATGTTCTTAAAGGAAAAAAAATAATGATAGAACTTTTTCTTGGCATAGCAACTTCTTAAGCAGCTTTTTGGCATCATGTAAAACCTTTGGCCTGGATTGCTATTCACCTTTATAAATGCTGACCAATCTACGATTTTTTTTCTGCATAACTTAAAGATAATCTAAAATCGCTGATAGATTATCACTGATGTAAAAGCTTGGACATAAATTTCTGAAAAGTGAGCGCGTGAAAAGACTACAGTGTTTATTTAAGATAATTTGGAAACAAAATCGATTTCTTAAAGATATAAAGCTGGCCAAAGAAAATAGAATGACCGATAGATACTGCTTTATATGATCCTAGTGAAATCTTAGAAAATATGAATGGTAACCTTCAAGGTGCAAATGGCTGTTTTCTTGAAGCCGGAAAAGTCGCGTCTCGGCAAACTTATAAGTAAAATATGTAGCAAAATGATTTAAAAGTATGCTCTATGAAGTTTTTGAGTTAAGAAGAGTAAGCGGTTTTGATTTGAAAACTCTATAAAAGCGAACGACGAGAGTAGAAGGAATTCGACACGAAGCCGTCATTCGACGGCGAATTCCGCCTGGCGCTGACTCATCCGACGGCGCGGCTTCATCGTCGACGTCGAATATTTTTCATAACCGCATTAGAAAAAAGCAACATGATCGAGAAGGGAATGGGACGAAAAAGTGGTTGTATGAATACTAAGGTTGACCATTCCAACGATTCGAAACGTCGTCACTAAATCAATCAATCAACCAATTCCTAAATCGCTACTGTTCACTGATGGATCGATATTCCATATACGTAATAGAGCGATTATAAAAATAATGAAATAGCTTAAAATAAAAGAAGAGGCGGTGCACTATTGGAAGATCATTAATATAAATATGAAAACGATATATTGCAACACTGAGCTGTCAGAAAAATGAAAAAGCGAACTAAAAGAAGAATTTTTGTAGAAATGTCAATCAATTCCTATTTTCGATACACACTGTATCTTCATCATTAAGTGGCGTTGCGTCTTGTAACAAAAGATACCATAACAGCGCGACTACTGAGAATTGAAATCATTATAAATCCCCCGAAAATTGGCAGAAATAAGAGAAAGAACAAAGACAGAGTGAAAAACATCAACAAGATGATTCGAACGGGATGCGGTACTATGAGGAAAACTATGCTGGATACGATATCTCGTTCGCAACTGGGTGAAAACGGTTCTATGGCGCTTTCGAAATCGATCAATACCTATAAAACCAGTGTTGGGTATCCATTTTTACAGATTCTTTGCCTCTAACAGTCACTAAAATTAATGCCTACTGAAGAAAGTGAAAGTAGGAAAATCAGCTCCTCTTTTCGAAAAGTATAAAGTATTCAACATACCAACTACAAGCAAAATCACCTCTTTGCCCTCCTATTTTTCTCCTGAGGAAAAACTGGGAAACACAAATTACGCTGAAAAAAAACAGAGAAACGAAGAAAAAAGTTCTCTTCGAGAGTATAAAACCAGTCACCACTCGCCAGCCATTCCTACCCTCTTCTCGTCCACTATACGTTCCTCACAGTGAAAAAAACAGGAAAAAAGAGTGAGCGTCTATCGGCTTAACGGTAGAGATGAATGTGTGGAAGGCGAACTGGTAAAATCAAACACAGCTGATGAAGCAGCAGAATTCTAAGCGAATCGATTGCCACCAAGTGCAGTGTCATAAGCAGCAAACAGATTATCGCCACGAATAGAGGCCGAACTAAAGCCAGACATAGATCGAATATTTATCCATGTTAACAGTCGATCGATATTATGGGGATTTCCTACTAGTGAACGTCTCGTCGTCGTTTAAGCTTTACGATCTTGAAAGCATAACAAATGAGGGAAAATCGATGTGAGAAGCTTTGCGTTGGCTCATCTCTATGGAAAATTTCTTCAACGGTAAATTAAAAAAATTTAAGCACTTTTTAAAATCGTTTTTATAGTCCGTTAGTCCCTTGCTATTCTAAAGGTTTGTTTGAGGACGTCTTTCATGAAGAAAGAAACTACATCCCAAAAAATAGTAAGATCGTAAGGGTTTCATAGAATGGATTTAAAATGACATTAAGGTGAATACGTTGTTGAAACGTCGATAAATTCTGATATTTTGATGGCGTTTTGGAAAGCAAATGAAATGGTACATAGTGGTGATAGCGGATGAACACGGAACTGAACAGAAAAAATCGATATCAAAACTGTGGAATTTTTATTTCCAGTGATTGTTTTTTATGTGAAAAAACTTTGCAAAAAACAAAGTATTGCTTGGGCGTGATTAATATCGGAGTGTTTCATTAACATATTCAGGGAATTTCATTAATTCTCGTTTGATGAACACTTTCTAGTATAACCTATTTTACCAGAGCGTCTCATTTTCTAGAAATTTTAGGCAAATAGAGAGGTAAGCCTGGATGATAAGTGTTCTTTTTTCGTCCCAGTTTATCAAAAGTGCGTACAAGGGTAGTTCGGTGACGAAGACGCCGCTCAGAAGTTCGTGCTCTCTTTGGTTCGTCGGCCGTCCGTCCATCTCCCGATTAACTAGGCCTCCGTATCATTTCGGCACCAGTCGATAATCAGTAACGGACTTTTTTCGGACGAAAAAACAGTTATTACTTACCTCTGGAATCTTGCAATTGCAGAAATTCATTGCCGATCTGGTGGATTTACTTTGGCTGTGACGGTCAGCACAGAAATACAAAACTGACTGCACTATTCAGTTAGTGTTTTCGAGGAAGCCAAATTTTCATATCAGTTACTGATCTGAACTTTCAACCCCAACGGGTTATTCGAAAACAATCGGATGGTAGTCATCGATTTTCTCGTAAAAATGTGCCGGTTGTGACGCTAAAATGAAACGATAGATATGTTGCTTGATATTGCAGCTGATTGAAAGCCATTGATAAACGGTAGGCTACGATCCGTCAAGTTAAAAGAGAAAATTCTGGATGATGAAGACTGCATAGAAGAAAGTCGTTAATAAGAAGTGGAAATGGAGGAAAAAGGAAAAAAATCTCGAAAATGATCCGTTCAACATTGATTTGTCACTCTCCCCTTCTAATCATCGCTTGGGCTTTTCTTTGATAGCCTGTTTTATGTTTACCCCAAACGTATCCACGACGTTAAGGATAAGATCTTACCAGATCGGTTCCTACTTCACGGTCTTGTTTCTGAAGCAACAATTTTAATCATATCTGTTTTAATCGTCGTTTAACAAAGTGAATAGAATTCTGGTATGATCAGTCTTCAGGAATAATTGTACAGGCCTGAGCATTTCTTACACTGGGAAAGTAAGATTTGCTGATCTGGAAAGATTTTCTTTCCCTCGAACCTCTATGTAGGCGTTCTAGGATTTTGCCAAGTCGTATGATCCCCGGCGCTGGTATACCCCTCAACTGGCCGTGCTTGGCAAACGTTTTCTTCCCTATTGTTTTTGTTTTGCGTATCTAAAAGGCAAAACTCTTCCTCAACTACAGATGACATCTTCAGAGATCGACTCTCCTATACACGGCACCCTGAAACCCAGCGACATCCACCAGCTGCGATCAGATGGTAAACCGCAGGAGGGTTGCCTATCATTATGACCTATTTGG